ATATGTATACATACCATGTGTGTATGTATAGTGTGTATATATAGTTTATACATATGTATATGTACATATATAGTATATACATGTAGTGTATGGATGTATACTCTTACATAATCTTACATAATTTCCCAGATCAGTCTACTGACAAGACGTAGGAGGAGTAAATCCTTGTAATAATAAGCACATCAAGTATCAATGTTTCTTTCTAAACACTTCTCTCCAAAAGGAACTAGAACACTTCGGAGAAATAATTGATTTTCAGACAGAAGCAGCAAAGATACAGCTGAGTATAGAATATGTTGTTTTACTGGAAAGTAAGTGGTCAGAAAATTGAGATATATTTAAAGGATACAGTCAGCCTAAAGGGGCTTTTACTGGCCAAGTCTATGAAAAATTGGGCATCAAAGTAGATGGTTTTCACATATTATATCCTACTAAGTAAAGCAGGAATCCGTCAGTCCATACAGATGCACATACAAATGAGTTCAGAAAATTATTCTCTGCAAGAGAACGCCAACTAACAAATATTGGTGGAATGACTGGAATCAGAATATGACTTAAGCTAACAGTAATTAATTCGGGCAAGAAATACCAATATTAACTCCAATGGGTGAAGGCTGCATGAAAAATATGATATGTATCTTGTTTCAAACTATATTCTGACAAAATATTATACATTACAAATGGCAAGTAAATAAATTTATACCTAAAAAATATAATCCTATTTGAATTTTCAAAATTAATACCACCAGTGACAGGACATACCAACACTGCAGAACACCTGATGATATGAAGCAAGATTATAGCATCACTTCCATGATCATCACAACGAAATATGTAACCTGCATCTAACCATGAGGAAACATCAGATATAACAACACTGAGGACACTCTGCAGAAGAACCAGCCTGGGCCCTTCAAATATGTAAAGACCACGAAGGTCAAGGAATGATTGAAAGTTATTCTGAATGGACACTAAATCAGTATGACAAGCACAGTATCCAAAGGGTATTATTTGGACAGTAGGTAAAACTTAAATGGAATCTTCAATTGAGCATATATGGGCTTATTTCAAGTGTGCTTTTATAAATTGACTTTTTATATTGACAAAGCTCCTGCACCTTTAAAAAGCCCTTCTGCAGAGGATAACTCCTTGAGATTTCTTGTGATAAATTTTCCCTTGTAGTAGCAAACCAGATAACATTGTTTGATCAAAACAAAACAGCAAACTTTATGGTACTTCATTTTAATACATCAGCAGTGTGGTACAGTAAAAAAGGTCCTAGTGGTGGTTTTTTGGATTTTTGTTTGGTTTGGTTTGGTTTGGTTTTTTGGGTGTTTTTTTGTTTGTTTGTTTTTGTTTTTCCCCAGTACCAGGAATCGAACTCACAACCATGTGCTTGCCAGGCAGGCACTGTGCCACTGAGCTAAATCCCCAGCCCCCTAGGTCCAAGTGGTGGGGGACAGAAGGAACACCAGTTTTTGCTGCCCAGTTTAATGGCCAGGAATGAAGTTATAGCAGTTAACTTACCTCCCATTTGCCTTCCAATCTGATGCTTTCTGCAATGCTGCTAGCATCACGGGGGGAAGGTTCAGATTTATTAAGGAAGTTGGCATAAAGAGGACTGCAAAGGTAAGGGGTAGCAATGGTTCATCTCTAATTCCAAAATGCTATAAGGAAAAAGGAAATAGTACACTGGGGACAGAGTCCATGATTCATCCTTAGCCTGAGAGATCACATAGTCAGTCAGCCTCAGTTTCAAAAACTCTCTGTATAATACCTTCAGGAATCTTCTATCACTTATGAAGGATAAAATAAATTTCCCTAATACCTACATATAACTAATAACAAGAGGTTCTGTAAAAAACTCTTTTGTGCTCTACCAAAATATAAAGTAGATGAAAGTAGATATTTTTGCCTATAAACTTTGTTCATTCAACTATTACATATTTATTAAGTATCTGCTATGAGCCAAACACAGATCTCCAGCTAGAGGAGACAGCAGCAAAGAAAATCAAATAAAGTCTCTGGGGCACACAATCTGGCCCAGAGAGACTGTGAACAACTTAACCATACCTAAAGCATCCTATAGCTGTAAGAAACTTGGGACATATACTGCAATTAGTAATAAAGTCAAGAACGTACACAATTATAAAATCACTCCCCTAACATTCATTTTAACAGTTACACTGTGCAGAGAGAAATTTACAGTGAACATTTCTTATTTTAAATTGCTTATCACTCACTTTAAAAACTGGACTAAATTTTTGTTCTTTTACTTCTTTCATGTCTTTTTGCTGCTATATATTCTCAAAAAACTGCATGTCCTTTAAAGTTTGTTTGCTTGTATTTTTATAGTATCTTCAAATTCATAACCACTTTTATCTTTGTAATAAATATGTACTTAGATATTTGTAGTAAGTTTCAAATTGAGAGCAATTCGATTTGTGAGAAACCATCTGGCTAGTACATTTGAAAAAGTGCCTTTTAATTTTTCAGAAGGCCATAATGTAATGTTACTAATAGCTCAGTAGAGGGTGCCGTCACTTAAAAATGAAGAATGGTTTTGAGATGAACAAAACACCGAGAAAGAGTGCATGCAGGCCACCATACAAGGAAAAAAAGGAACAGAAGTGCATCCTTACTTTTTCAATCATCCATATGTTATAGATCCTTCAAATGCACTGACAAAAAATAAAGAGATAAAATATCAGGAGTTAGAACGGGTGCTATTCAGTATTTCTTTTCTGTTTTAAAAAATATTTTGTCTAAAAAAAAAAAAAATTTGTCTGTATTGGGGGCTGGGGATTTAGCTCAGCGGCACAGTGCCTGCCTGGCAAGCGCAAGGTTGTGAGTTCGATTCCTGGTACCAGAAGAAAAAACAAACAAACAAACAAAACCAAAACAAATAAAAATATTTCGTCTGTATTCATTATACACTCCAGTATACACTCTAATATACTCCCGTATAACGGCACACTCCAGTACTGTATAATTAAAGTGAATCAGTGGAAGAAATGTAAGAGATTTATCTTTTTAAAGTATTTTATGTATCTCAAAAATTACACAGCATCCTTCCACCAATGACAGGCAAAGGCATGCATTGGGTCTGGACCCCTATAACCCTCCAAGTGCTCAGTGACTCCACCATTCATGTAAGTCCCCAAATATACAATGTAACTTTATACTGCAAAAACAGAGCATGAAATAGTTGCTTTTAATTTGTTTTTTAATTGTGGTAAAATGCCCATAACCTAAAATTTACCATCTTAACCGTTCTTAAATGTACATTTTGATGGCATTAAGTACATTCATATTATTGTTAAAATGATCCCCAGAACTCGTCATTTTGCAGAACTGAAACTCTGTCCCACTTAATACTCACTCCCTTTGCTCCATCTCCCGCGCCCCTGAGAGCCACCGTCCTGCTCTCCCTCCCCATGCACTGGACTACTCCAGAGACCTCATATGGTGACTCATACAGTGTTTCTCCTTCTGTGACTCGCTTATTCCACACAGCACAATACTGTAAAATTCCTGATTTCTCAACCGTTTTACTCTTTCACAGTGTTCGAGGACACTTCAGTCTATCTGTGGATCTGTCTGTCAGTATTACCTGTCTTCCTGTTCTCACCTGTGTTAGTCAGCTCGGGATGCTGTGACCACTCTGCAGCTGAAACAGAAACTTATTTTCTCATAGTTAGCGAAGCTTCAGAGTCCACATCAAGATGCCAGGCATTTTAATTCCTAGTGAGGGCTCCCTTCCTGACTTAAAGACCACTGCCTTCTTACTGTGTCCTCAAATGGCAGAGAGAAAAAGACTGCGGTCTCTTCCCTTATAAGGTCACCAACTCCATCCCCACTCTAGTGATGTTACGACCTTAATTACCTCCCCAAATCCCTACCTCCAAATATAGCTACCTTGGAGACTAGGCCTTCACCATTATAATCTAGTCCACAGCATTACTCATCCTCAAAATCAGCCTTCAAAACCAGCTTTTTCTAGACTCTCAAACCTGAATTCAAGGCAGTTCTTCATTTGAGGTCTATAAGTAACACCACACTTTAAAATAATTTCAACAGGGGCTGGGGATTTAGCTCAGTGGCAAAGCGCTTGCCTGGCAAGCACAAGGTCATGAGTTCGATTCCTGGTACCAGAAGAAAAGACAAAAGACAATAAATAAATAAATAAATAAATAAAATAAAATAATTTCAACAGAGATTGTAGGGGTTTTTTTTATAAATATTAGGAGAGAATATTTAGTATGTTAAATAATTAGTTCAACCAACTCTTACAGTTTAACTAAGAATTGCTTTAACAAATATGAAATAATGGATTTAATTTTAATAACTCTTCTCCCAATGTTTCAACTGGAACACAAAAGAAAATTTGTCCAGTGTTGACTTTTTCCCAATGCCAACTTCCTTACACAAACTGAAAATAGTAAGAACCAACATGAATAAACAATGTTTATATTTAGAAATAAAAATGCTCAGGGAATTTTTTAAAAATGTAATCATTACTCCATCCACAACATGATAGAAGGAGATATGAAACTAGCTTTCCATTTTGCTTAAAATGAAACAAACTCCAGTGCTTAACTGTAACATCAATTTACTGTAACATCAATTTTAAATGCATTGATTTTTCTTTTTCTTGTTTTTTTTTTTCCAGTACCAGGAATCGAACTCACGACCTCACACTTGCCAGGCCAGCACTGTGCCGCTGAGCTAAGTCCCCAGCCCCAATGCATTGGTTTTTCTTTTAGTATTTAAAACATTTTTCAAACCCAGCTTTAAAAGCTTTTTTAGCCAGGCATGATGACACACACCTGTAATCCTACCACAAGCTGAGGCAGGAGAAGCACCATGCGTTCAAGGCCAGCCTAGCCTACATAGCGCGTTCAAGGACAGCCTGAACTATAGAGCAAGACCTTGTCTCAAAAAAATAATAAAAAAGCTTTTTAAATACTGCATAAAAAAAACCAACATAAACTACTATAACTGATCAACTAATTTATAATGTTACTCTATATCATATTTAAATCCAATCAAAAACAAAGTTTAATTTAGGATTCAACAGAAAGTAGCAGGAAATATAAAAAGAATTCTGTGGATGTTAAAGATTTAAAGTTACTTAAAGAACTTTGCCAAAATTATTATTTATCTTTTATAATAAATATAATAGATACAAATTTTAATAATTACTTGATATTTCTTTCCCTTAGGACAAGGTAATCTTTATAATCTAGAAATTATAATTTAGTGATTATGGCGATGATAACAGCTTGATATTTCAGTTCTCGGTTAATCCAAAATACGGTTTGACTTTTTCATAAGCCACACAGCCGATGCTTACTGCAGGAAGCACCTTTATGATGTTAGGAGTGAGGCCCCTGAAAAATCCTTTTTTTCCTTCTTTGTTGTATATTTCTTGAATGAGTCGAATCATAGGTATTTGTTCTTTTTCCACCAGGGCTATAAATTTAAAAAAAATCAGTACAGTTCAATATTTAATATTTATACACTAAAGGAATCCAATGAAAATGAGAATTTATAGAAACTGAAATTCCTTCCGAGTATATCTCTCTCCCTACATATATAACAGTCCTGTGCTGTACAATATGATAGCTATTAGACATATATGGCTATTTAAATTTAATTAAAATTAAACTAACATTTGAGCTCCTCCATCAAATTAGCTCCTCCATCAAATGTAACATTTGATAGCTACATATGACTAGTTGCTACTGTATTAGACAGTAGAGATAGAAAATATTTCCATCATTGCAAAAAGTTTTATTAAACAACTTAGTGCTGGGATTACAGGCGTTTGCACCACCACATCTGGTTTGAAGGTATTTTTTAAAAATCTAAATCCCTAACATTTTACTAAGAGAGGAACAAAACAAGTATCTTCCCTACTGCTTAATATCCCCTCCCCAAGTATGCTGAAATATAAAACAACTGAGTTCAGTTCCACAAATATATCAAGTTCCTGATGAGGAATATGACAGTGATAGTAGAAACAAGGAAAAACTGTGTATTCATGTTGAGTAATTGTTGATTCAATTTGAAGAAGACAAACTCTTTCTACTTAGTTCTGCATGGTACTTCCAAATTAAGGACTCCTTAAAAAGATAATCAGTAACTGAAAATGTGGAAAGGTCCAAATAGAACTTTACAGAAGAAATAAAATCTATAATTCACAAAAAGCTCTAGTCAATAAAATAATAAACTCGTTTCATCCTTTAAACCACAATTTGTTTTTTATTTATCAACTATACAGAAATCATTAATTTGTATTTAAAACATACTTCCAAACTTAATTATCACTTCATTAAAAACAAAAACTCACCTTCAGCCTGCATGCGAGTTCTAATAAGATACAGAGGGAAACTTGTTAACTGCCCGCAAGTATGAGACAATGTACTACAGCCCAGCAAAATCATTATTCCGGGGTTTACAGAGTTTTCTGCATAATGTTCTAGCCAATAATTCTTCAAAAGCTGACAAAGAAGAGAGCAATAAATTAACTATTATGCAACTAAGTAGAATGTAGCTTTAGTACAAAGGTGCTACCCGCACTGTGATATTATGACAAGATGTACAGAAATTTCCAAATAAATAACCTGAGTTTCGAGTTCTCATATGTCTCTGTGTATGTTTTATTTTGCTTTTTTTTTGCCCATTTTTGTATCTTCTGCTTGCTTATTTTGGTTTTAGAGATAATCAAAAGACTACAGCAACATTCTGGATGTTCTCACAGGGCTTAACAAGATATTGTAGAGAGAAAAACTGCACAATCTACTCTACTGTAGGCTTAAAAAACCACACTTTCTCAACTTTCAAAAAGATTATCTTTCCAAATTTGCTTTTCTTTGAATAAATGTGACTGGAAAATATTATTCAGAAATAGGATATTTATTTAAAAATAAAACACCACTAAGTACTTTAAAACTATTTATGAGGAAGGGTCACAAGATGATAGAGTGGTAAGCAGCAGAGAAAGAGCCTCTCTGAATGTTGCCATCCACTTGCTGGAATATAGCAACATGGGGAAGATAAGAAGGAGGGAAGTGGGTTCTCCTAGACCCAGGAAGGATCTGAGGAATGAACTGAAGCCCACAGACAGAATGAAAGGAGAAATTTCAATGAAGAAGGAGGAGGCAACAGGCAGCACTTTCTCCCTGAGATGGGACTCACTGTGCAAGAGAAACAACTCAAATCTGCAGAAACACAGTGACTGCTGGCCCCCAGAGGCCTCTACAAAGACATGCAGCTCAATGGACATGAAGGACTGTACAAACTGGCAGTGAGTGCTGAAGGCTTGGTCATCCCACAGGAGAGAGCAATTGGTCAGAGCCATCTCAGGGAGGCGATGGCTGAACTTAGAACTCAAAGTGGCTGCTGGCTCCATCTAGTGGCTCCTAGCTGGGCTCAGGACTGTGGGAGGTGCGCTGACAGCTGCAGGCCAAATGAGTCTGGTCTCAGCTAGAAGGCGCAGGCTCGCTGAGATTATCCACTTGCTGGGGTAGATTGGTGCAGATCAGGACCTATCTCCACTCATTCTCTACCAGTGACAGCAGAGACAAACCTGGCAGTGGACTTTTTTCTCTCTGTCTCTCTCATTTATTTTGTGTGGTGGTGGTGGTAATTTTGGTTTTTTGTTTTATTTTTTGTTTCTTTCTCCTTCATTATTTGATCTTGTTTTTATATGTATGAACATGGTTTCTAGCCTCTTTGTGGTTGTTGTTCTGTTACATTCTTTTTTATCTCTTCCTTCTCCCTTTCCCTCCAGTCTTCTGCACCAGTTTCCCAAAGTTAGCATGATCTCCCTTTGTCCTTCACTCTTACTTCTAATGTCTTCCTTCTCTTCGACTTCTCTATTTTCTCCATAACCCATTTTAAATTCTAACCCCTGTGGGTAAAATTGACATATTAAGGATTTATATACTGCATATAACTTTCTGGTTGGTTTTCAATTTTATTGTATAACCACAAATCTAGTTCATATAGTTAAAGGTGAAAAATTATTAGTTACCTCAGTTTGTCATTTTCTAGGCTGTGTTTGATGCTATTGTCATGCGTATCACTACGGCCAAAAGTGACAAATTGTTCCAAACAGCTGTTCTAACACTGAGATTGACGAAGGGTCACAGAAAATACTGTGGCACAGTGCCAAAGAACTAAGGGCTGGGCAAAATAGGCAGGAACTTCTCAGCCCCAACAAATTGAAGACATAAGACCTTGCAGCGGATTCAAAACTCAAAAACCAGATACACCTGGAAGATAACTCAGAGAAATAGCATTTCCTAAAGGTTGCAAATACTTGTAATAAAGCAACCCACCATAGGTAATTTATAAACATCATCCCAGGAATTAAACTAAAAAACATAAAATAGAAAATGAGAAGACACTTAAACAAAAGGCAACCCCAGACATCCAGTTCACCAAAGGCAAACCCAGGAGGCAGTGAGGTGGGACAATCCAAAAGCCACCCACCTGGCCTCTCTGAAGTGGTAACAAAGCACTTGAATGAGGCTCTAGAAAAAGTCAAATCAGAAATAATTTCTCAGATAAATTGCAGAGATGATGTTTACAATGAAAACCATACTTAGTGACTCTAGAGCACATAGAGAAAAAAAATAGAAGAGCTTAAGGAAATAATGGAAACCATGAAGGCTCAGCATAAAAAACAAATGGAATCTGCCCTTAAGCAGATTGAAGCAGATACCCAGGAGAATAAAAATTCCATTGAAAGTTTTCCATTGAAAGCAGCAGATTAAGCCTATGTGAGGATAGAATCTCAGATAAAGAAGACAGGTTTGTGGTTAGCAATCATGAAAACAAAGATGCCTTAAAAACAGCAAGGGACCATGAGAAATCAATCCAGCAGCTGCTAGATGAGGCAAAAAAGAATACCTTAAGATTGAATGGGGTCAATGAAAAGTGACATAATAAAGTTGTTCACAGACATCATGGCAGAAAACTTCCCTGATAGTGAAAAAGAATTTGACATACAGTAAGTGAGACATATAGAAATCCAATTAGCCATGATCAAAAGAAATCTACAGCCAGGCATTTATAGTAGTTTCCAGAAATTCAAGACAAGAATAGAATCTTAAAAGCTGGCAGGGAAAAGAAACAAATCACCTATAAAGGAAAGACCATCAGAATCACAGCTGACTTCTCAGCACAAAAGCTCAAGTCAAGAAGAGCTTGGAGTGAAGTATTTCAAGTTCTAAAGGAAAACAACCTTCAACTCAGATGAGGTACCCTGCAAAACTATCTTTCAAAGCTGATGGAGAAATAATATACCTCCATGACAAAGAACAGCAGAGGAAATTTATGACCACCAAGCCAGGACTCCAAAATGTTTTGAAGGATATTCTAGAAATAGATGATAAGGACTGCAACTCCATGAACCCCAACAGAAGGATTCTATTAGGCAAGACAAACAAACAGAGGGAAGGGAAAAAGAGGAGGAGCCAACAATGGGAAAATTACATGACAAGGGTAAATCAATACATATCAGCTATAACCATCAATGTTAATGGTCTCAATTCACAGATTAACAGAGACTGGCAGAATGGATCAAGAAACAAAATCCAATAATATGCTGCATATAAGAAACACATTTAATTCAAAAAGAAAGTTATAGATTGAAAGTCAAAAAATGAAAAACAACATTCCATGCAACAAGGACCCAGAAAAAAACAGGGGTAGCTATTCTGTTTGCAGACAAAGTGGATTTCAAGCCAAGACTGACTAAAAGAGACAAAGAAGATCACTATATCCTTTTCAAGGGAACAATCCAAAAGGAAGAGATAACAATCATAAGTATATATGCCACAAATACCAGTGTACCCAACTATATAAAACGAATATTAACAGACATGAAAAATCAAATAAGCACTAATACAATTGTATTGGAGCATCTCAATACCCCATTGTCAGACAAAAACAGATTACCTAGATAAAAAACCAACAATGAAATAATAGAACCGAACCAAACTCTTAAAAAAAATGGACTTAGTAGATGTCTACAGCATGTTCCATGACACAACATTAGAATATGCATTCTTCTCAGCTACACACAGGACATTCTCCAAAATAGATCACATACTAGTTCAGAGAATATACTCGAGTAAATTCAAAGGAATTGAAATTATCCCATGCATATTATCTGAACATAGTCCAATAAAATTGCAAATTATTAACAAAGAAAATCACAAAAACTCCATGAACACATGGAAATTAAATGACACCCTCCTGAACAAGCAATGGGTCACAGATGAAATTAAAGAAAAAAATTAAACAATATTTACAATCAAATGAAAATATAAATACAACTTACCAGAACCTGTGGGACACAATGAAAGCAGTCCTAAGAGGAAAATTTATAGCAGTGAATTCTCACATCAGGAAAGCAGAACAAGCACAAATAAACAACATTATGCTACACCTCAAGCTTCTAGAAAAAGAAGAGCAAGTCAAGCCCAAGGCCCAAAGAAGGCAGGAAATTATAAAGATCAGAGCAGAAATTAACACAATGGGGACTAAGAAAACAATACAAAGAATTAATGAATCAAAGAGTTTGAACTTTGAAACAATAAATAAAATTGATAAACCCCTAGCTAACCTTATCAAAAAAGGAAAAAAAAATCAAGCAATAAGGAAGGAAAAGGGTGAAAACAATACAGAGCCTAGAGAAATTCAGAAGATCATCCATATCTACTTCAAAAATCTTTACTCTCCACAGGATAGAAAAAGAAGAAATGGAGAGATTCTGAGATACATATGAATTACCAAAGTTAAAACAAGAAGATATAAAAATTCTGCATAACCCAATATCAGTCAATGAAATTAAAAATGTAATTAGAAACTTACCAATAAAAAAAGTCCAGGTCCTGATGGATTCATAGTTGAATTCTACAAGAAATTTAGAGAAGATTTAATACCAATTCTTCTCAAATTCTTCAATGAAATTGAAAGGGAAGGAATTCTCTCTAACTCATTCCTGGAGGCAAGTATTACCCTGTTACCAAAACCAAAGAAAGACCCAACCAAAAAAGAGAACTACAGGCCAATCTCCCTAATGGACATAGGATGCAAAAATCCCGAATAAACTACTAGCAATGCAGCAAACCATCAAGAAGATTATACACCCTGACCAAGTGGTATTCATCCCAGGAATTCAGGGATGATTCAATATATGCAAATCAATAAATGTAACACACCATATCAACAGAACCAATGACAAAAATCACATGATCATCTCAGTAGATGCAGAAAAAGCTTTTGACAAAGTCCAACACTAATTCATGATAAAAACCCTACAGAAAATTGGAATAGATGGTCTTTACCTCAATCTGATAAAAAGCATCTATGACAAACCAACAGTCAGTATCATACTAAATGGACAAAAATTGAAAGCTTTCACTTTAAAATCAGGAATAAGACAAGGACGTCCACTGTCACCACTCCTGTTCAATACAGTGCTGGAAGCATTAGCCAGAGCAATTAGACAAGAGGGAAAAATAAAAGGAATAAGGATAGGAAAGGAAGAAGTGAAATTATCATTATCCACAGATGACATGATACTCTACATAGAAATCCCCAAAAACTCCACCAAAAGACTTGTAGATTTAATATTCAGTAGCATAGCTGGATACAAAGTCAACACTCAAAAATCAATAGCATTCCTGTACACAAACAACAAACACACTGAGAGATAAATTAGGAAAACCACACCTTTCACAATAGCATCCATAGGGCCTGGTATATAGCTCAGTGGCACAAGCGTTTGCATGGCAAGCACAAGGTCCTCAGTTCGATTCCCGGTATCAAGAAAAACAAAACAAAACAAAAAAAAATAGCATTCAAAAAAAATGAAATACTTAAGAATCAATCTAACAAAGGAAGTAAAACATCTGCACAGTGAAAATTACAGTACTCTAAAAAAAAAAAAGAGACTGAAGAGGATTTTAGAAAATGGAAAGATATTCCTTACTCAGAGATAGGAAGAACCAACATATGAAAATAGCCACTTCCAAAATTATTGTACAGATTCAATGCAATCCCAATTAAAATACCATTAGTATACCTCACAGATCTAGAGAAAATATTCCTAAAATTCATCTGGAACCAGAAGAGACCTAGAATAGCAAAAGCAATTCTGGACAACAAAGGAAAGGCAGGAGGCTTCACAATCCCTGATTTGAAATTAGGCTACAAAGCTACTGTGATAAAATCAACATGGTATTGACAAAAAAGAAAAAAGAAAAAAACCAGACCTGAGGGACAATGGAACAGATTGGAAGGTGCAGACACAACTACAAACACACTCAGCCACCTTATTTTTGACAAAGTAACCAAATGTGTTCACTGGAAGAAAGATAGCCTCTTTAATAAATGGTGCTGGAAAAACTGGCTTTCCACATGCCAAAGACTAAAATGAGACCCAAGTCTATCACCATGCATTAAAGTCAAAATGGATCAAAGATCTAAATAATAAAACAGAAACACTAAATCTACTGGAGGAGAAAGTAGGTAGAAATCGTTCTTTGAAACAATAAATAAAATTGATAAACCCCTAGCTAACCTTATCAAAAAAGGAAAAAAAATCAAGCAACAAGGAAGGAAAAGGGTGAAAACAATACAGATCCTAGAGAAATTCAGAAGATCATCAATATCTACTTCAAAAATCTTTACTCTCCACAGGATAGAAAAAGAAGAAATGGAAAGATTCTGAGATACATATGAATTACCAAAGTTAAAACAAGAAGACATAAAAATTCTCAATTTTTACAGGATAGGCAGAGAGTTCATGAACAAAAACCAAACTGCATGGGAAACACTTCACAGAATCAGCAACTCGGATCTCCTCATATTGAAAAGTTTTTGTACATCGAAAGAAATAATCAAAAGGGTAAAAAGGAAGATTCACAAATTGGGAAAAAATTTTAGCTGACTGTACCTTTGACAAAGGTGTTCTTTCTAGAACATATAAAGAATTTTTAAAAATCAGGCCCCCAAAATTCAAAGACCCAAACCAAAAATAGGCATCTGAGATGAATACACACTTCTCACATGAAGAAATACAAATGGCAAATAAATATATGCAAAAATGTTCAACATCATTAGTCATTCAAGAAATGCAAATTAAAACAACACTGAGATCCCATTTCACCCCACAAAGAATGGCTATCATCAAGCAATTAACCAATAACAAATGCTAGAGGGGCTGTGAGGAAAAAGAACCCTTATTCACTGCTGGTGGGAGTGTAAACCGTTACAACCACTATGGAAATCAGTCTGGAGATTCCTCAGTAAACAAGGATTATAGGTCCCATTCAATCCAGCTATTCCCCTTCTGGGTATTTTTCCAGAAAACATCAGACCACAGCAATATATGTGCACCCATATTTACAGCAGCACAATTTGTAATAGCTAAATCTTGGAAAACACCCAAATGCCCATCAACTGAGGAATGGATAAAAAAGATGTGGTGTTTGTATACAATAGAGTATTATTCAGCTATAAAAAAAATTAACTCCAAAAAAATTTTTAAAAAGACAAACTCAAGGCTTTTATAGGTAAATGGATGCAACTAGAGACCATACTCATAAGTGAAATAAATCGGGGCTGGGGATTTAGCTCAGCGGCAAAAGCGCCTGCCTGACAAGCGCAAGGTCGTGATTTCGGTTCCAGGTACCAGAGAAAAACAAAAACAAACAAAAAAAAAAAAGTGAAATAAATCAGACCAACATGGGTAAATTTCATATTGTCTCCCTAGGGTAAGAACCTGAAAGAATAAGTAAAATCCAAAATGTAAAATAGATATTGTGAAAGAGAAAGAAACTGCTCAAAGGGAAGGAACAACCGGGATGAGGGAAAGGAGAAAAGAAAGAAGGAAGGATGGGAAAAAAATAAATGTATATACACAGGATCGCTGGGACAATTATACTGCTGATTTCTACTGGTCTACTGAAAGGAACAGTTAATGCTTAAATTTTTTTCTTCTTTTTAATTTTTTGACCAATTATGCATGCTTATATACAGTAGTCTGAACAACTAATTTGAAGATAATAGTATGCAATATAACAATCATTGTTGAATTCTTATCATCTTGTTTAGTGCAATTCTGTACTGTTTCTAATGTTTTTTATTTTTTATTCTTTTCAAAAAATGGAACAATGGAACAGATTGGAAGTAACAGCACCTTTACTGAAAATTAAAAATCAAGAACTGGGATCTCATCTTATTAAAAAGCTTTCATACAGCAAGAGAAACTACCAACAGAGTGAAGATATAATCCACAATATGGGAGAAAATGTTTGCCAACTGTTTCTCAGACAAAGGATTATTATCAAGAGCATATAAAGAACTCAAAAAAATCAGACCTCCCAAATTTAAAAACCCAATCCAAAAATGGGCATCTGAGATGAATACATATTTCTCAGATGAAGAAATACAAACAGCAAATAAATATATGAAAAGATGTTCAGCATCACTGGTTATTTGAGAAATGCAAATTAAAACAATACTAAAACTCCATCTCTCCCCCAAAAAAATAGCTATCACCAAGAAATCAACTAATAATAAATGCTAGTGGGACTGTTCGGGGAAAGGAACCCTTCTTCACTGCTAGGAGTGTAGATTGGTACCACTACTATAGAAATCAGTGTGGAGAGTCTTCAAAAAAAACTAGGATTATAGGTCCCATTCAATCCAGCTATTCCCCTTCTGGGTATCTTCCCAGAATAACTAAAAACATCATGCCTCAGTGATATATGTGCACCCAGGTTTATAGCAGCACAACTGTAATAGCTAGATCTTACAAACAACCCAAATGCCTATCAACCAAGGAATGGATAAAAAAAGATATGGTCTTTTTATATAATGGAATATTACTCAGCCATAAAGAAGGATAAACTGGAGACTTTTATAGGTAAATGTATGCAACTTGAGACCATACTCATAAGTGAAATAAACCAAACACACAGGTATAAACATCGTATTATCTTCCTAGTTTGAGAAGCTGAAAGAATAAATAAGGTCCAAGATGTACAATGGATATTATAAAATGGGAAGTAACTTCAAAAAGAAAGAGAAACTCAGATAGGGGAATGGAGAAAAGAAGGAAAAGAAAAAAGAAAAAAATATATATATAATAATTGGGATAGTTATACTACTAATTGCTCTTGGTTCACTGGGGAGAAGGGTTTGTGCTACTGTTTTTTGGACCACTAAATGCTGATGTCTTGTACTCTGAGTAATTAATTTAAAGATAACAATACACAGAGTATTAACCATTGTTACCCTCCTATCATCTTGTTTTGAAATTTTGTTTTGGGTTTTTGTTTTTTTCTTTAAAATAAAAAATTTTTAGAACTTTGTAATAGTAAAAAAAACTATTTGTGAAAGGATAGTAGAATTAATAGCACCATTACTATTATATACAGTGATAATTGTCCAATATATAATTTGATGCTTTTGAAAAAATAAATTTCAAGATATCTTCCTTCAGTATATTCTTATAGTTATGTAATAACAAAAAAGAGAACCGTGTAATGGTCCTCTGATACGAAAAAGATACTAAACTGCAAAAATAAAAGAATGGAGAAAGCCCAACATAAACAGGAGCAATAATTGTAATAGAAGCAAGAAGCAAGAAACAAAAAGACATACATGCTATAATACATAATATTTAACTGTATTTGTTAAGCTACTAAATCAAATTACTTAGCCGCCTTTTACACAACGGTGGCACTACTTCCAAAAAAAATACTAACAGGCCTAGCCCAAGAAAGCTCATTTCCCTATCAAGAATGAATGCGCTGTTTGAATTACGCCCTCCCACCAGGCTGTGGGGGCCAAGTGGTAAGGACTGTTCAGCTGGTCCGCCTGAGACAGACGGAAGCTCGCAAGGATGAAACGCCTGGCTGAAAGCGGGGCACCTGGAATCCTGCCTGATGAGGGCTTCGCTGTCAGGGTTTCTCCCCCATCTCCACGGGGGCTCTCATCCCAAACCCCCAGTTAGTCCTCTCTTCAATTCTAATTTTCACAGCCGTGCAATAATATTTCAGTTTTCTAAATCTTACTCATATATCAGATTTTTCTTAGCAGTTAAAAAACTGGAATCCTGGTCCTGTCCTCGTATAATTAAGAATCCAGACTATTTCAGGATGTCATGCAAGAATCCTACTTTTTTAAAGTGCCACATGTTAGTGATTCTTTTAGGCATCCAGAGTTTAAAAACCTCTACTATATCAGAATCTAGGTCTATAATCATTATTATCAAGAACCAATTTACAAAAAAAATCAAACCAAAAATTATTAGAATATCAGATGTCTAACATATAAAACAAACGGTGAAATTAAAACAGACTTCACTTCTATGTCAGAAGCTATTTCATGCAAAATCATTCATATTTTAGAATAAAAAACCATTGTTGTACCATATCTTCAAGTCTAACACATACTGTCATATTTTGGAGTGAACTCACCTCATAAACTGCAAGATCTAAGCCTGCGTAAGGTATGATGCCCAGCAGGTTGGGAATGTAACCTTTGAAAAAGGTGTGCACACCCCCGTGCTTCAGAAGCTTCTTGATACAATCAAAAATTCCAGAATATTCTCCACTTTTAGCTACAATAAGTCTGGTCTTTATTACCTACATGTAAAAGAACATAATAAAAGTGTATAGATTAGATTCAACCAACTCATCCAGCAATCTAGTGAGGTCTATTATATCATAATATTTACAAATTTTTCTAAAGATAAGAAGATAAAGTAACCATAAGTATAATTATACTGAGGGCTGAGCATGTAGCTCACTGGTAGAGTTCCTGCTTGGCATGCGTGAGGCCCTGGGTTCAAAGCCTAGCACCATAAACCATAACTATAACTTACCTGCCAACAACTGATATAGTACAGAAGTTTTAAAAAGTATTCAAACAAGAAAATAAAATTAGTGTGCCTTTGATGGATACACCGCTTTGCTATACAAGGCCGTGTGTATGGAAACAAATTAATTTGAGATATTATTGCTACAAAATAAACACAGACAAAACTCAAGTTTAAAAAAGTATATGGTCAAGTGAAAGTGAAGAGCCAATATAAAAAAAAGCACATATATATGCTAAAAATGTATAACCTGGGACTATTTTCGTAAAGCTTGTAAACTATATTTTAACGTGACTTGGGCTCAATCTATGCTAGCGAAGTAGTAACATCACAGAAGCCCTGAGGACAACAGTTGGCTCCGGCTAGCTCTACATGCTCAGTATTCTCAAGCCCAGTGTAATTCTCCTGAGGAGAATCTCACTCTTTATTGTCTTAATTTTTATTAATTTAACATAAGGGAGTTCTACACGTGCTTGGAGAAATGGCTCTCCCAAACAGCCAACACAGAAAAAACGTACACTTCTGTCTTGATGAAGGAAGCTGCATAACATAACAGGGCTGCCCCCGCACAGTCAGCAGGAAGCCTTTTGGTTCCCGGGTCTCAGAAGGAGCAGACAGATCAGACGACTGCATTACTAAGATTCCCTATCCTCTCCAGGGCAGTGCACTTTCCTCTCACCCCAGTTAATCTTTCATGCCTGCTTCACTGGCATGTTCTTCTCTTCCTTCTAATTTAAGATTTTCTTAAAAGTTGTCTTCTCAGCATTAAAAAAAAAAACTACACTTTCCTTAGGTAATTCCATGGCTTTAAATAATACGCTTTCTTTTACTATTTTTATTTGGGAAATTTTTTTCCATTGTAATTTTTATTGAGATATATTTGCAGTCCATGATGTTTATATTCTTCCTGCACACAATGCATCTTAGTTCCTTCTTTTATCCCTATTCTGTCCCCTTTCTTCCCCTCCCTTCATCCTTCCCCTCACTCGCATTTCCAAGATTTATGCCCCTATTGCCTATTATCTATTATCTATTTTGCTTTTTATTTATATTTTGGGTTTCTGCAGATGCAACACAAACACTCGAAATCTGAGGTCTCTAACACATTTGCAATTGCCCACTGAAAATCCTAACTTGGTTGTCTCACCAACAGCTAAAATTAAATATACGCAAATCTGAACTCATCACCTCTCAGAGTCTAGCTCCCTTCCTCTGTGCTCTCTCCAGTCTATTAGAGACCTAACTCAGATGCAGCTCCAACTCACGGGCACACAACCCAGATAAAGCTTTGCTCTCTTGCTTATCCTTTGCTTTTCATATTTCAAGTTGTTCATTCTTACAGGAACTCTGAAAGGAGTCAGTTTGCCCTAGTTTTATCATATTTCAAGCCCTTATTATCTCTTCTCTGACTGATATCTTGTCTTCCCATCTCTCTAGTATCTTCTCTTTAAAAAAATTATCACGATCATATTGCAGGGCTGGGGATGTGGATAAGTGGCAGAGTTTTGTTTGGTTTTGTTTTGTTTTGGCACCAGGAATCGAACTCAGGATCTTGCGCTTGCCAGGCAGGCACTTGCACCACTGAGCTATCTCCCCAGTCAAGTGGCAGAGTTCTTGCATGCACAAGGTCCTGGGTTCGATCCCAAGCAACACAAAAACAAAACAAAACAAAAAGATGATATTGCAGACTCCAAAGTCTTTAATGGCTGATTTTTAAAAATGAATTAAAATTAAATTTAAGAGACTTTTTGATCAGGCCCCACCTCTTCACCTATGCAACTGTACAGCCCAAAACTAAGGGCCTACTTTTTTAAAACTTTCATTTCTTGGTTCTAGCTATTACTTACACCTAAATTTCCCTTCCTCACAATCTCTGCATGGCCAAATTCTAAGCCAGTGTCACACATTCTATTCGTATCTTTCATAAACCCCTACCTAGAAATAATTTCTCATTTTTTAAGTGTTAATACACTAATATGCACTATGTATTGATCTGTCTTCTAGAATTGATTTTTCTAGTTTAGATCATCATTGTTTTGGATCATTATCAGAACTACTTTATCAATTTAATTATTTCCCTTTCTAGAGATAAGTTACATGATTAAAATCCCTGTCTGACTTTTCTCTGGATCCTGTATAGAAGCCAGCAGAGTACCTTAAACTTAATGGCTATGAACTCTGATTTGCCTGTTTAATGAGTAGGAGATTCTGTCAATCAGTCTAGCAAACCATTTCCTCCTGATCTGCAATATTACCTTTATAGTAGACAGAAAAATATATAAGACTGACATTTGATATAAAATTTAAACCCTATAGCTATAAAGCTATTTCTTTTATATAATATTAATCTGGAATTCACTTACAAGAAGTTGTAATTTGTACTAAAAGCATGCCTTTAATTAAATTTTATAATACATACCTCCATGGGGTAAATACAGGTCTGGGAAGTTGCACCAGCTAATGAACCAGCTATAAATCTTTCAAGAATTCCTATATGAGTACCATCAAAACTAAGCCATTTCTTATACTGTATAAATGAAAGTATTGAAATGGAACTATTAGTGACATGTAATATATGCTATTTCTAAATTTATATTAATTAATAGTATAATATGTAATACCATAATTATACTAGCATGTGAACCAGATACCTGATATAAACACAGCCTAGTAGAATACCTGGTTTTAATTTCTATGTAATAGAGAGGTATGTAAAGCCCTCCATTCAGCATCATTTTCCTGGTGAATAAGTTAACGACAATATTAAATTACTTGAGTATATTTATGCATCTGTTATTCATAAGGGACATGCAGTGACACAAAGGGAAAAGAAACTGTCTTTTACCTCTTTTTAGCATCATGAAAACACTTAATATTGTTTGGTTACTAGGTTACCAGGAATAGTAACAATATGAGGGGCTCTTTTTTTTACAAGGAACAGTTCATTTGTGTTAGTGCAAGTAACAGGTAACTTACCTGTAACAACACATGCCAAAAAGGAAAATCTAAACCTAAGCCTAGAAGTTGGCCTTTCACAAGAACTAAAGCAAGCCAAATTTCAGGGAGACTAAACCTAGGAAATCACTTGGGATCCAAGATACCTCTAGCAAACAGATTCTTTTGTAGCCTCCTACAGAGAATGATTTATTTATCTTTTCTAGTGATCTGTCAGCATTGTGACTCAGCTACTCTTTGGTTCTCAGATCAGTAACTCTCCATCAGAAAGCATAAATGGTTCAATTAGTATGGCAGAGACTGCTCTCCATTCCTGGTATTCTTTGTTTTAGTAACACAGTTACAGATTACAGTTCATAACAGTTACAGATCACATTTCCTTTTTCTCCCTTACAGACAGTTTGTCTAAGTGACTACTTTTGGCCGATGAGATATGAGAGGAAGTTGGGTGTGCAAATGCCGAGGAATTACCTTAAAGACGTTTGCTTTGTACTACTCCTCTTTCCTCTGCCTGGTAACGGAAAGAGCAAGTATACTCTTTAGAGCCAAGCACTGCAGATGGTGGAGGTACAGTGAGCCCTGAGCCACTCGCCTTCCTCTTATATTTAAGCTATCGTATTTTGGAAGCACTCTGTTACAATAGCTTAGAGTGAACCTAACAAGCACAGAAACTGATTCCTAAATGTGGAATGCACTATGGTTTAGATAAATGTCCCCAAAGATCCATAGATTAAAGGCTTCGCCCCAACGCTAGATTATTGAGAGGTACTGTGGCCCCTTAATAGGTGGAAGGTCTAGTGGGAGGTCATGGGTAACTGGGCACCTAGCCTTAAAGAGAAATATGGCACTGCTGCCCACTCTTTCTTTGGTTCTTGCATCCTGGTTCATAGGGTGAACAATTTGCTCTGCCACATGCTCCCACCGCGATGAAGAGCCTCATCAGAAGCTCAAAGCAATGTCTTCAATCCCTAATTGGACTGGGAACTCCAGTACAATGGGCCAAAATGAATCTTTTCTCTTAGGCAGTTAATTGTCTCAGGCATTTTGTCATAGTAACAGAAAGCTGACTATTGGTACTGAGAAGCAGGACCTTTGTGATAACTGAGAAAATTGGTACTGAGAAGTAGGACCTTTGTGGTAATGGCACCTTACAATGCAAAAGTCTTTGAAATTGATTTACAGAAATAATCTGGAAGACTGCACAAGCACACTTGATAAGAATAAAATTGCTGTAAGCAAAGCCTGTGAGTGATTCTGGTGAGAGCTCAGAGAGCTAATGATGCTTTAGATGGAAATGAGGACTCTATTGAGAACTGAACTTAAGGATACCCTTGTTAACTGTGAAAAAATAATTTGGCTTCAATGTGTTCCATGCCCTGGGACTCTGGGAGGTCAAGCATAAGGTGATGGACTAGCACATTTTGTGGGGGAAATTTCAAAGCAGTAAATAATTTACGCTACAGCACAGGTTGGCTGCTTTTACCCAAATTTGCAGGGAGAATGGGGAACAAAAGGAAGTAGAGTGAAAAGACTGAGAAAACTTACAAATTGGCCAGTAAAAGAGCACATGATAAAGTACAGCCAAGGAGGGTACACTGCTAAAGAGATTACTGCTGTTAACAAGCCAAATAGGGAGGCACAGTGCTGCAGTCCTGTAATCCCAGCTACTCAGGATGCTGAGGCAGGAAGATCATGAGAGGAGGTCAGTCTGTGGAACACAGAGAGAAGACTCAAATAACTTTTTTATTTCTAATAAGTAAATATTTTATTAGAAATAAAAGGGACAATAAATAAAATATTTACTTATTAGAAATAAAAAGGGACATGGCAACTAACGTCATAGAGAGAAGAATGACTATGAGACTACTATGAAGAATACATGCCAGCAAACTAGATAACCTAGAAGCAATGAATAGATCCCCAGAAAAAATAAACCTACTAGATGAATCAAAAAGAAAGAGTAAATAAACAGACCAATCACAAATAAAGACTGAATCATCAATCAGAAAAATGCCCAAAAAAGAAAAGCCAATGACCAAATAGCTTCATGTATTAATTCCACCACTTATAGAATTAATCTTTCTAAAACTCTCTCAGAAATTAGAAGAGAGTATACTTCCAAATTAATTTTATGAAGTCAGATCACAAAAGAAAGTAATGACAAGCCAATTTACTTTGAATAAAATTATTTTTTAATTTCCCTCACAAATTGTTTTTATATAGAAATGTAATTTTTATATGTTGATTTTTCTACTCTGCAACAACTTCTTCTCCTCCTTCTCCTTCTTCTCCTTCTTCTTTCTTCTTTCTTCTTTTATTCAAAGTAACAATAAAAAGAATGAGATATTTAGGCATAAAACAAATAGACAAAATCCTTGTATACTGAAAATGGTGAAGTATTGATGGAAATTGAAGAAAACACAGATAAACAGAAAAATATCCTATGTTCATGGATTGTAAGAATCAAAATTGTTCAAAAAAAGAATCAAAATTGCTCAAATGTCTATGCCCCTCAAAATTACATACAGATACAATGTAATCTCTATCAAAATTCTGATATCATTCTTTAAAAAAAAAGTGGGGGGGGCAGAGATATAGCTCAGCAGCACAGCACCTGCCTGGCAAGTGCAAGGTCCTGAGCTTGATTCCTGGTACAAAAAAAAAATAACTGATATCATTCTTCCCACAGATACAGGACCAACCCAGTAAAACTAAATGGCTTAAAGGAGTGAACAGTACCTCTGGAAAATAAAGCCAAGAACACACCACTGAAAAACAGAACCTAACAAAAGAGATTCACATGTCAAAAACAAATTCTGTTCACTCTCTTTTTTTAAGAGTAGCAAAGTTTTATTAAAGGTGGAAAAAGAAGCAGGCTCTTCAGAGTGAGTTTGGGCCCAGTAAAAGTAGGAAAAGAAGGACACCCTGCAGCGTGAGGGCAGGACACCATGGAGGGGAGAACGCTGGCAAAATCTCACTGTGGGCTGTCCTCTGCGTATCACCCTGTCCTCAGGCCATGACCAAAGAAGAACCTTGCCACAACACCTCATAATCACAGTCCAGGAATTCAACAGAAGGAGAAAATACTAAAAGCAATTGGAGAAAAACAAAGCAGCAAGTAACACAAAAAGGCAAGTCCACCAGAGAAATGTGGATTTCTTAGCACAAACCTTAAAGGCCAGAAGAGCTTGCAGCAAAGTTTTTCAAGCCCTAGAAGAAAACAACTGTCAAGCCAGACCTCTATAGCCTGCAAAATTACCCTTTAAAATTGACAAACAGCCCGGGCATGATGGTACATACCTACAATCACAGAATTTGGGGGGCTGAGGCAAGAGGATCACCATGAGTCCGAGATCAGCCTGGGCTACATGGTGTGTTACAGATGTAAATGTACACAGAAAAAGAATAGACCAGTCCCAAATAAATAACCTAATGACACACTGCAAGGTACTAGCAAGAGAAGAACAATCCAAATCTGTAAAGGAAGGAAAGAAATTATACAGATCACAGCAGAAATGTAAAAAAAAAAAACAACAAAGGATCAATGAATCCAAGAGTTGGTTCTCTGAAAGTATGGAAACAGGTCTGGGGGATGGGGGAGACGGGAGGGCAGGGAAGGGAAGGAGAAGTAAAAAGGACTGAAATGTGGTATGTATATGTGCCAAAGCCCCCACAGTGAATGTATTTACTATGTATTGCAAACATATAGCAATAAAAAATCTGAGTGAAGAAAAGCAAAAGATAAGCTTTGATGGGATATGGAGAAAAAGAAACCCCATGCACTGCTTCTGGGAATGTAAACTGATATATCCATGTGGAAAACAATATCCATATCCAAATATCCATATGAGAAGTTCTTCCAATAAATCAAAGATGGAGCGGTTTGTGTGTAACACACTTATAGGGTGCACAGAATATTATTCAGTCTTTAAAAAGTAAATACTGTCATTTTCAACAATATAGATGAATCTGGAGGAATTATGCTATGTAAAATAAGCTAAATGACATTAAGCTATTTACTTAGTAACATTTACTACTGTCCTGGAATTATTCTGGGAATAATGCATGGCCCTCTCCTAAAGAAGATATATTTCTGGACAATATAGTTTAAAATAGACTTTGGTAAGAAAAGGTAAGAACTAATTATGCAGCACTGACTGCTATCAGTGTGCTAATATCCATTATCATCTTCTTCCTAAGAAATACTTTGTACTTTTAGATACCAATTCCCACCTAAAAAGTATTTTCTTAAATTTCTTTCCAACTAGATGTGTTCGTGTGTCTACATTTTGGCTAAGAGTATGAAGCATGGTACAATATATTCTTCCCTAGTTGTTACCCGGAACGTGGATGTAGTTGCTGCAATTCCATCTCAGACTAATGGAGACAAGGACAAGCACAGATGGCAGACAGTGAGCTGGGAGTGACTGAATTTCCTCTCACTTTCAAGGCACTTTCATACCAGCCCAGAACTGCCAACCCACACACAGACTCTTATCTGTGGTAAACCGATAAATTTATATCTTAGGTCATCATTATTTGGGATTTTCTGTCCCATGCATCTGAACCTAAGTCTAATTTACATAAGTGGTACAGATAATCAATATCCTATGGTAGAAAAAGAAAAATAAGATGTCAAAGGAAGTTACTTCTCAAGGAAGAGAAAGATAGATTTGGGTTCTTGAAAGGATGGATGCATGGATGGATGGATGATAGATGATACATAGATAGATAGATAGATAGATAGATAGATAGACAGACAGACAGATAGATGTTAGATTTAAAAAGGTAACCCAGGGAGAAAAATGTGAGCAAAGTCAAGGCAGGAAAAGCATAATTTGTTAAGGTATAAAAAAATTCTTTTGCTGGGCATGTTGGCACATGTCTGTAATCCCAGCACTCAGGAGGCTGAGGCAGGAGGATCACTGCAAATTCAAATCCAACCTAGACTACACACCTGAATTTAAGGCCAGCCTGAACTGCATGGTGAGACTCTGCCCCTCCCAAAAAAGAAGAAAATTCTCTTAAATAAAAAAGTATATTGTCCAACAGTATGAGTACTGGACACGTTAAGTAGGGATAAATTATGGATGATTTTTAATGCTGGGTGCGTCAATCAGCTTTCTGTTGCTGTGACAAAACACCTTTAAAAATCTACTTAAAGGAGGAAAGATTTATTTTGGCCCATGGGTTCAGAAATTCCAGTCCACAATCTGCTGGCGCCATCATTTCTAGACCTGTTGTGAGACAGGAACATAGTGACAGAAAAGCTCTCACCTCATGGAAGCCAAAAAGCAGAGAAGACAACTACAGAGGAAGAGCTGGGGACAAAACGTAGCCCAGGGACACACCTCCGCTAGGCTCCATCGCCTCAGTTCCCATCACCTCCAACAACGCCCACAGACTATGACTCCACCAACAGAGTAATCCACTGATGGACTCAGAGCCTCGCCACCAGTCTCCTTTGAAAAGCCTATCAGCTGGCAACCGTCTTCAGCACACAGCCTTTGGGAGACTTTTTTTTTTTTAAGTAAAACTGAGAATTAAACCCATGCCCTATGAACTGAGATATACACCCCGCCCTTTTGTATTTTTTCATTTTAGGATCTCACTGGGTGGCTAAGTTGTCTAGGCGGGGCTAGAATCCTCCTGTCTCAGCCTCCAGAATCCTGGGATTACAAGTGTGTACCACCTTAGGAGACATTTTAGATCCAAATAGAACACTGGGGTAAAAATCTTACATAGAGCCCAAGAGATAACACATATAATCTCTAGGAAACTATTACAGTTCAGTTTTCCTCACCCCACACAACATCCTCTCCTCTGCTATGGGTTAAGGAAAAAAGTGGAGCCCTCAAGAACAGTCTATGGAAGAATGGAGGTTAACCAAGGAAAAAGGCAGGGCTTCTACGCAGTAAAAAATAAACAAATAAATAAATAAAGGTTATCAACAAATTGGGGCAGGAAGACTTCTCCACATCTTATTGATACTCCTTCGTTCTCTTTAACCCCATGAGGTGATGTGCCCTTGGAAAGCTTCAGAAGAACCAGGCTAGGGCTTAGGGAGAAGAAGTGTGAAAATAGGCTACTGTGTCTCTAGTCAAGTTTTGCACTAACTGGGGAAAACGATGACCTTGCTTGCTTATTTGTGAACCACTGCCATTCACCAGGGTTGTAGGCTAAAAATAAATGGAAAGTTTAAGTCCTAATTAGTATCACACAGCACGTTACCTTACATGTCCTCTATGCCGTTATACATCACCAGGAGTAGTGAGGACTATGTACTGATGACTTAGGATGGTGATTTAAAACTTTAGAGCTTTCAGTGGTACCCACAGCCCACTGTGGCACGTGTGTCTCAGGTTCACACCGCCGATTTAGCATCAGGCCACTGACTTCCATCTGTGCCTGGTCTCACAAATAACAATGTATATATTCCCAGTAACAACCAAGAATACACCAACTGCTCTGTTTCTTTTATACTTTTTCAACATACTATTTTTACTCCCACATTGATATTTCAATTTAGATGAACCACCCTCAAAGTTCAATATCTGGTTTTGATAAAGTGTAAGGTCCAGAGGGGCAGAGAAACGATCTATCTGGCTTATTCAGGCAACCCCGAACTACAGCGTAAGACCTAGCTCATGGTAGGCACATAGTAAGTATCTGAAGCCATGAAACTGCCAAAAGCCAAAACCTATCACTTTATATTCATGAGTACTGACTTCATCTGCTTTCCAACTCTCCCAGGAGACTATTGCACGACTCTTCCCTTTCCTCAAGCCTCCAACATGTCCTTGCTTCCCACATCAGTGATGAAACTGAAAGCCCAGGAACAAAGCTTTAACAAGACCACCTACAACTGTAACTGCAAGTCACCCTCCTCCTGTGGATGAAGTGCCCGGGCAAGAACAAACCCTTCCCTGAGCACGCGTCCCCATCGCCTCTCGCCTAAATCTCCACACCCCATCCAGGGACACTCCCCCAGCGCCAGTCCTCTCTGTCTTGTACTATCAGGTGTGTTCCTCTCTAAACTGGATCATTCATCTAAGCATACAAACACTGCTTCCTCCACTGCTAGAGAAACACTCTCTTGGACCCAAGCCCTCTCTAGTTGCCACTTCTTTTCACAGTAAATCTCCCTGAAAGAGTTGTTAATCTCTAGCCTCTATTCTTCCTGAACTCACTGCTCACCATCTGATGTAGCCTAAATTGTATTTGACTGCTGTCTCTTCCTACATGTATCCTAAGAGAACTTCTACAAAGGCAGATGGGGCTTTTGTTTGGTTGATTTTTGTTTGTTTCTAGTTGGTGCAGTATCTCTGTCACCTAGAAGAGAATCTGGAACACATCAGGGAATCAAGAAACATTTGTTGATGAAAGTGGTACTTGCTGAATGAAGAAGCAAATCCTCATTTAAGTAAGAAATGTATGTCTTAAAGATGTACATTAGAACTAAGTCCAGTGTCCTATTAGAGTTGAGAAAGGATACCATCAATCTTTTATATTTTCTTAAAACTGTGAGCTACTATAACCATGTAAACAAGGCTCTACAATAGAAGCACTTTAATGCCATATGCTCAAAAAAAGTTTAAAGAAAAGTGAATTACTATGAGATTTACAGTGAAGAAAAAAATAACTTGAGGTGCATAAAGGACACCCTTGGATTCTTAGGTGACACAAGTAACTTCTAATTGAAAACAGAAACAACTCATCCTAAAGGCAATTATTTAAGGAAAACGAAGATCCTAAATCAAATTAACAAATTTTAAAATTCATTGTTGTATTAGTCACTTTCCTATCACTGGGACAAAATATCCTGATACCTGCAACTTAAAGGAGGACAGGTTTATTTTTGGCTCAAAGTTTCAGTAGATTCAGTCCAGGGTCAGCTGTCTCCAAAGCAGAAATGGTATGGCACATGGCATGGCAGAAGAAAGCTGTTTACCACACGGTGACCAGGAAAGAGGGAAGGGCGGGGGAGAGGGAGAGGGAGACAAGAGAGGGAGAGAGAGGGAGAGGGAGACAAGAGAGGGAGAGAGAGGTAGAGGGAGACAGGAGAGGGAGTGGGAAATGAGAGAGGGAGAGGGACAGGCAGGGAAGAACTAGAGACAAGAATACACTCTCCCATCCATCCAACCAGCCCTACCTTCGAGATTTTTGGGGGGACATTTTAGATCTAAACCATAACAAGTGTGTTATTTCTCATCAGTTCATTATTTCACTGAAAGATCAATCCTCTAGTCATTAACAAACTGCAATCTCTATAAAACATTCAAATTGTTCAAAGGTAAAACCAATTATAAAATGCTTTACAAGAGTTTTCCACACTGTGACAATGAAACTAAAATAATTACTAATAGACTTTAGTTATGATAATATAATGCAGAACCTTTCTTATATACAATGGCAATATGAAGACATATCAAATGAAAGTGAAGTCTCTAACATTTATATTTACAATTATTTCTTGTGTACACTCTAGTTTTCTCTTTCATAAATGTCTAAATCTTTTAAAGTTAAATTTAAAATCTGATATTAATTTAAAATTCCATAGCCAACAGCATTTTACCTGTTCATAGGCCCCAATCTTAATTGCTGTCTCTGGTGCAATTTTAAAAACATTTATACCATTTCCTTGCCAAAGAGAAAGTATTCCTCCTTCTTTTACCATCTGCTGAAACACATTAATCAATCTCATTTTCCTTGTCTTCAAACTGTGAACCTAGAAATGAAATAGCAAACATATTTTTTAATTTATTTTGTTGATAATATGGTATCAGTATTGCTATCCCTAACATTTATACATATATGTATAAATTCATACTTCTCAAGGTGGATTTAACTTTCCTTTAGAAACCTATAAAGTTAATGTATTAATTTTTTCTTGTCCCCAAATGCATATGTTAATCACAGTAGACACCCACATCTACGGTTTTGCATTCCATGCTGTCCATGGTCCATATAGGTAAAATGGAAAATTACAGAAATAAATTACATGCCTTTCCGAAAAGTATGATAAAGTCTCACAATTTCCAGTTACACTCTCTCCTCCAGTTATGAACCACCCCTGTATGCATTGCGTCTACATTATATATATATATATATATATATATATATATACACACCATCCACCCATTAATCACTTAGAAGCCATCTCAGTTATCAGATATTCTATTGCAGTATCACCACAATGTTTATGTTCAAGTAAATCTTATTTTAGTTAATAATGGCTCCAAAGTGTAAGAATAGTGATGTTAGTAATTTTTATATGCCAGAGACCCCATAAAGAGCTTCCTTTAAGTAAAAATGTGAAAGTCACATAACTTTCTTTACAGTCTTTTCTTATAATTGTCCAAACTTTCTGGTAAGAAACAAGTAGGTAGACTTTGTGGAGCTGGGAAAGGAGATTGAGTGAGAGAGGAGGTAAATGGATCAAAAATGATGAAGATATGTTATATACAAAATCAACTACCCCAAAATGAACATCACACTTGTGTAACATATAGTAATAAAAAGAAAAGAAAAAAAGAATGAAAGAAAATATATCAAATTTTTAACAGTGGATACTTAATGGGTATTGTCTCAGTTAATCTCTACTGTCAAGCTGATTAATTAAAAGACTCCTGGGGAGGTAAATGGGAGCATTACACTCTCCAGTGCATTAATTCACTAGAGAGTTAATATCTGAATGTGCTATTCAGAAGTGGGGTCCAGTTGGAGGTAGATCACTGGGGATGTGATTTTGGAGAATATATCTCTTGCTGTCATTCTTCGCCAGTGTTCTACTTCCCATCCATCTAAAATGAGCACTTGGCTCCACTACGCCCTTTTGCCATGGTGTTTCTGTCTCTAAGTCAGGCAGCCATGCACTGAACCCTCTGAAACCGTGAGCAAAATAAAACTCTCTTTCTCTAAACTGAGAATGTCAAGTATTTTTCTTATCAATGGGAAAGTTGACCAATGCAGGTGTGATAGTATTATGGGACTGAATTGTGCCCCTCAAAATTCATATGTTGAAGTCCTAAATCCTATTCTCTCTGAATATGACCTATTTGGACATAGTGTCTTTACAGATGTAATCAAGTTTTAGGAAGGTCATTAGAGACCCTAATATAATATAAATGTCATCTTTATAAAAAAGAGAAATTTGGACACAGAGACATAACACACAAAGAGGGAAGATAAGGTGAAGAGACATAAAAGATGGCTGTCCACAAGACAAGGAGAGAGACCTGGAGCAGACTTCCCCTTGTAACCCTCAGAAGGGACCAAACCTGCTGACACACTGATTCCACAACTATGAGCAATACATTTCTAAGCCAGTTTGTACTACTTTGTTGTGGACTCTAACCAAAGCATAGATAAAGATTACATACCATTTTAATGTCTGCTTTATGCTTTTTGGTGCTTTTCCATTTTTCTAAAGCATTATTTTATGAAAAAATGCTATTTTTAAGACAGTTGGAGTTAAAATATTAGTAAAGTAGCCTCCTGTCTGTAACATAAAAATAATATGAAAAACAAGGCAAAATGGGCATTTTCTGTTAGAATAAAGCTGGAAAACATTTTAGCTACATATCTGTGAATCTGCCCATACACACACAATAGCCTTTAAAATGTTCATATCATTAAAATCCTATTTTTCTAAATGAATACTCCTAAATATGAAAAAGAATTTATAAGTGACAATGTTCTGTTCATCATATAATTATAAAAAATAGTGTTAAGAAGGATATTTAAAGACATTTACAAGTCTAAGAATTTCAAAATGATGAAATAATATGACATATCTACTTGAAATATTACAAAGTATCAAAAACTGTATTTAAAGAATATTAAATAACTTGAAAAAATGTTAATATTACACTATTAATCACAAAAATAAACTGTGAATTACTTTAAAAGTAATCACTATTCTATAAAGAACATCTAAAAAGGATAAGAAGTAATGCACTAAAATTTTAATAATGACCACTTTAAGTAGGGAAATCATATATAACTTTTCTTTCTACCTCTATTTTCCAGATTTTTCTTAGTAGGTATTGTTAGGGTAAACCAAGGCACAATTGAGACCACCAAGACAGGTAGAGTTTAAGCAGCATATGAGGACTATATTGAAGACCAGGTCTAGCAGGGCAAAGGGCAAAAAGACCACTGGGCCCAAGCAAAAGGCAACAGCATGTTTTATAGGGGAGTTTATGTAGAGGAGGGGGGCACTACTATTTTGGGTCTCTGAGCAGGGGGTCTAGGGCTAGGTGATAGACAGGGTGATGTTGGGTACAGGGGTGCTGGCAGGCACAGCATGTCCCTTGTGGTTTTTCACATAATCCGCTCCCTGCAGGTTGAGCTGTGTGGGGCAGCTGCTAGCTGGTTAAGCTGCACGGAGAAGCTACTAGCTTCCTGTTGAATGCTGAGCTCCCATAGGTGTTAATAACAGATCTGCTTGGGGAGTTTTTTTCTCTCCTAGCCAGGGGGCGGTCCGGTTTGGAGACTTGACAGGTATATGTTCATTTCATTTTAAAAATAAAATTTTAAAACTCAAATAACTAAAGAAACTTTAGTGTTGCTTGATAAAATACTAACAGTGCTATTCACTCATATTTCTCTACAAAAAAATTATAGCCTTCAGTTTTTTAGTTCTAACAGGCACTAAGCTAAACACTTCATAAAATCTTATTCCTTTTCTCTTATTTGTTTTTTGACTTCTTTGGTTTATTTGTTTGTTTTATTTTGCAGTGTAGGGGATATAACCCAGAATTTCATCATGGAGGCTAGGTCAAACACTCTACCACTGAGATACACCCTAAGCCAAATCTATGCCCCCAGTTAAAACAACTCCGGCATGATGATTCTCATTTTATTGACTCACTTGGGAATGGTAAATAACTGCCCCACAGATAATAACATAAACATCAGAGTTGGAATTCAAATCCAGGTCACTCTAACTGTAAATCTCTGCTATTACATATTAAACTACCTCTCACCACACAACACATATGCCTGCCTTTCTCTAATTCACAGCATTCCCTTTCAGTAGTGTGCAGCTCATGCAGTAATACATCCACAAGTAAAGAGGACACATTCTAACAAACCCATTTCACTCAATGAAAGCCAAGAGATCCCATCCAGAAAAGCATAAAAGGGTAGGTTCCTTTTTCATTCCCCCCCTCCCGCCCTTTGTCCCTGCCCTTTTCCTCCTTTCCTTCCTTTGTCACTCATAATTCTTCTTTTTCTAACTCTTTTCTCGTTTACCATCTCTTACTTTTCCCCTTTCTTCTGTATTTTCCTTTATTTCCTTTTTTAAAATCTCCCATCCTCTTTTGACTCCTCTCTAGGCAGATCCCTTATTCCTTTCTTCTTTCATTATTTCTGTACTCATCTATTTGCCTCATACTTTCTTACTCTTCCTAATCCAATGATCCATTTTCACCCTCTCAGAAAATTTATATCTTTACATTGTATCTTTACAATACCCATGTATAATTTTTTATTTTGCATAGAGCAAAAACTCAGAGGTAGCAATTATTATTTTCAATATGAATATTATCATCATCATCATAATCACAGTGTGGTGTTTATGTCTCTCAAAGGTTCTACAGTATAAGAAATACACTTTTATAGGCAAAATCATATCAGATATTGTCAAAATCCAAAAGATCATAATTACTATGAAAAATTAATATTCCAACAAATTGGAAAATCTTGAAGAAATGGACAGATTTGTAGACTCATACAAATTATAAAAACTACGCCAAGAACACATACAAATTATGAACAGTTCAATAACAAGCAATGAAATTGAGGCAGTATTTTTAAAAAATCCCAAGATCTGATGGATTCATTGGTAAATTCTAGATAACCTTTAAGGACATTAAATCACCATACTACTCAAACTCTTCAATGAAAATGAAAGTAAAGGAGTGTTTCCAAACTCATTTCTGGAAGCCAGCATCACTTTTATCCCAAAACCAGACAAAGACCCAGCCAAAAAATAAAACTACATGCCAATCTCTTCAATGAACATATACGCAAAAATCCTCAATTAGATATTGGCAAATAGAATGCAATATATCACCAAAAGGATCATATATCATTACCAAATAGTTTTCATCTCAGGTTGCAAGGATGGTTTAAAATATGCAAATCAATAAATATAATATACCATATAAATAGAAACAAGGAAAAAAATCACAAGTTTATATCATTAGATGAAGAAAAAAAGCTGATGATAAAACTAAGAACCCCTGCATGATAAAAACTCTGAAGAAAATAGGTATAGAAGGATCTTACCTCAATCTGATAAAAGCCATTTATGACAAACCAACAGCCAAAATCATATTAAATGGAGGAGAAAAACTGAAAAGCTTTTCTCTAACATCAGTAACAAGATAAAGATGTCCAAATGTGCACTATTACCACTTCTGGCAACATCATAGTACTTGAAACATCGGCCAGAGTAATCAGGCAAGAAAAGGAAAGAAAATAGTTATATACAGAAAAGAAGGAAATCAAAATATCATTACTTGTAATGACATGATACTCTACATCAAAGACTCAGAGGATCTGATTTTTAAAAAACCTGTTAGAATTTTAATCAATTTCAGCAATGTAGCAGGATATAAAATCAACACACAAAAGTCAATAATAATCATATACACCCATTTAAAAAAAAAACAAGAAAAAGATTAGGAAAACAGTATAATTTACAATAGCATCAAGAAAAAATAAATACCTAGGAATTAACATAACCAAGGAACTCTAAAACCTCTACAATGAAAACTACAGTACTGTGAAAAAGGAGATCAAAGAGGACAACAGAAAACAGACGTTCCCTGTTATTTCATAGGCAGAACCGATATTAACTGGCCATACTCCCAAAACTGATATATTGAGTGCAATCCCAATCAAAATATCAACAGTATTCCTCATAGAACTAGGGAAAACAATCCTAAAATTCATATGAAACCAGAAGAGAGTCAGAATAGCAAAAAGCAAAGTGGGATGCATCACAACACCTGACTTAAAGTTATACTACAAGGTAACCGTGATAAAAATGGCATGGTATTGGCACAAAACCAACACGTGAAATAATAGATTTGAATAAAGGATACAGAAACATCCCCAGACATATCCAGCATTTTCATCTTTGACAAAAAAGGCCAAAAACATATGTTGGAGGGAAAAGAACTTATTCAACAAATGGTGCTGGGAAAATTTGTTTCTGTAAGCAGAAGATTAAAGCTGGGCTCGTATTTCTCACCATGCACAAAACTGAAGTCAAAATACATCAAAGATTTAAACATCAAAGCAGAAGCAGTGAACCTATTTGAAGATAAAATATGTAAAACACTTTAATTCATAGGTGTAGACAAGCACTTTCTGAACAGAACTCCAACTGAACAGACATAACAAGAATTAATGAGCAGGATACCAAATTTTAAAACTTCTATACAGCAGAGAAAATAATCAGTAGAGTAAAAAGACAACCTAAAGAACGGGAAAACTTTTGCCAGCTATTTCTCAGACCTAAGACTAATACCTAGAACATATAAAGAATTCAAAATAATTAGACCACTCAAAATGAAAGACCCAATCAAAAAATGGGCAAGTGAAACACATAGACACTTCTCAGAAGAAGTACAAATGGCCAACAAACATGAAAAAAATTCAACATCTCTGGCCATTACAGCAATACAAATTAAAACAACATTAACATTTTATCTTATACCAGAAAGAATGGCAATCATCAGGAAATCAATTAATAACAAATGCTGGTGTGGCCATGGTGAAAAAGGAACCCTTCCATATCCATGGTTAAAAAAAAAAAAAAAAAAAGGAGCCCTCCTACATTATTGGTGGGAATGTAAACTACTACAACCATTATGGAAATCAGCATGGAGATTTCTCTAAGAACTAAAATTAGAAATTCCATCTGATCCAACTATTCCTTTTCTGAGTATCTTCCAAAAAGAACTAAAGCCATTATATTGCAGCAACACAGGCATGCTAATGTTTACACCACCACAATTCATAGCAGCTTAATCGTGGAAGCTGCCTGTATGCCCAACAATGGATGAACAGATAAAGAATTTGTGGTACCTATACATAATGGAATATTACTTGACTATAAAGAAGAATAAATTCAAGACATTTGTAGGAAAATGAATATCTGGAAAATAAAATGTTCAGTGAAGTAAACCAGACATACAAGCTTATGAGTGGTATTTCTCACTTCAGTAAGCCAAAATACAAACAAAGATCAAAATAAAAGGACTGCTAGAAAGAAACAGGGAGATATATTTGCAAATGGGATGGGGTCCAGGAGGTGGAAGGTTAGAGGAGGGGGAAAAGGGAAGAGCAAGTAAAAAAGATTTAAGGTATGTCATGTACATGTACCAAACACCCACACTGAATGTGAACACTGTATGTTATAAACATGAACTAAAAATAGTGACAATAATAATGAAAATGGGCAAAGAGGATTTAGAGATGGAGATAGGTGAGTGGGAAGGGGAACAGGAAAGTATTCAAGATATGTCACTGATATGTACTTAGTCCCTAAGATGAATGTAAACTTCACATGCTACAAAGAGAGACAAATATGCCTTTCCTCTTTGCATTTCTAGCACTCAATATATGACAGACACACAACAAAAACATCTGTATTTTATGTCTTGGTCCATTCGCATCTTTTTCATCTGATAAGTCTCCATCTCTGGATAGCATGGTACCACATGTCTTTTTCCTTTATACCTCATTTTAAATTTCCTGACAGGTACAGTTACAGAGGAGATAAAGCTTTCTATTTTGATAGAAACAGATATAGAAAAGAGGATTTTCAACTCTTTCTCTAACAACTGACTGAACTGAGTCACCTGATTGAATAGAATATAGGTTACATGTAGAATAAAACACCATGGATGATAGCTCATTTGCCCGACAGGATGCCATTGACAGTGTGTTCCCTATACTGAACCCACTCAAAGGTCTTTATTTCCGTTGCACTAACCAGAATAGCATTTTATATTTAAGTGAGGAATAATAAACAGAGGGGAAAATGATATTTACTATTCTTTGAGGTTCCCATAGTATCACCTGGATGTATAAAGCATTAATACCACATTTCTTATTACCCACATGATTATCTATTTTTCCCCTGGAAGATAATAAATTCTCTAATAGTAAAAATTATGTCTATGTACCACTGTAGTTCCAAATGACAAAGTACCTAGCAGATAATACATCCCAAATAAATATATGTGAAGTGAATAAATGAAGCCTTCTTCTGGCAAAAGCTACACTTCTAACATACTTTATTTTCTAAAAATGACATATATATATAAATTTCATCTTAAGATGACGTAATTTTTTTTGTCTTTTTTTTTTTTTTTTTTTTTTTTTGGTTTTTCTACGGTACCGGGAACCGAACTCACGACCTTGCGCTTGCCAGGCAGGCGCTTTTGCCGCTGAGCTAAGTCCCCAGCCCCTATTTTTGTCTTTTTGAGACAGGGTTTCACTATGCAGTTTGGGCTGGCCTTGAACTTGCAGCAACCCTCCTGCTTCAGACTCCCTAGTGCTGGGATTACAGGTGTACACCACCACACCCACTGGCAAGATGACATAATTTTTGAATGATGTAGAAGTGAAAATAAATTACATAGTTATTAATTATGTAACATAATTTTATATAATTCACATTGCATAGTAACTATTCATAATCCATTACCAAAATGTCAGCAATATTACCAGAGCCAATAAAATATCCAGATGTATAAATTTAATTACAAATTTAAATTCACTAGATAGTTTATTGTTGATTATTATTCCCCTGCAAAGTATTCAGCAAATACTAAATTTTAATTATGGATTTAAATTATGATCATTAACAGATTAAGCCACACATTATCTTACAACTATTGTTGAAAATTCATTATTCACTGAAATAGTGATAAATAGCATATAATAAAAGTTTATAATTCTTAGAGTTTTTTAGTTACTAGAGATTGAACCCAGGGCCTTCACACTGAGCTATATCCCCAGCCTTTTAAAAATTTTTTTATTTTGAGAGAGGGTCTTGCTAACTTGCTAAATTGCCCAGGCTGGGCTCAAACTTGCAATCTTCCTGCCTCAGCCTCTCAGAATGCTGGCAAGAAATACTGTTGATATTTTAAGAGTAGAGTAGGACCAAACTATTACATTAATGTCAGATGTTAGAAATACCCAACAAACAGTCTGAGTCTTATCACTTCTTTCATGAATTTAGTCATAATAAAGATGAATATACTATCTATGAGAGTGGTTCTATTATTATTTGAAGCAAAAATTGATTTGAGTACTACAGGAGCATTCTGAAGAAAATAAAGAAATATTTTAGTATTAAAAATAAGATAATGTACATATTCCAAAAAAGTAAGTTTTCATGAGAGTTAATAGGAAATCTACCAGAACATTCAAACTACTTCTTTTGGAGGATTTAAGTCCCTCTAACTCTTAACGGCTAGGTAAAGCATGCATACTACCTGCATCACAACTTTCAAGCGGTCCAAAGGTGCAGTGCATGTCCGTGCGACTGCACCGGCTATTCCTGCTGCCACCAAGCGCTTCCACCAATCCCCAGACTCCTTTTCTTTTTTGGTAAATTCATCTGGAATAGCTATACTCTCTCCAATATCAATTATCTGACAAGTGCAAAAACAAATTAGGCAATGAAAAGTGTAAATACTTCCTAAAGTAAAAAAATAACTTTTGACAAAGACCAAAAATAACTTCACATGAACCAAAAACTCCAGTTTTTTTTCGTATCACCTATTACTGAAGATTAACAATTTGCTTATCATTACACTAGGTCAAATGATTTTTGAACAGCACATTTATATAGAGACTTAATGCAAATTCGTTTCATTAAATCAGATATTAATTTAAAGTTCTTAAGCCATTTGGATGATCTCTTCCATAAAAAAAGGTGAATCCTGACAGCAGGGATCATGTCCTATTGTCCTTCACAGTGTCTGGCAAACACTAGGCAAGGAGTAAATGCTTAATAAATTACCCATGTTTTATTTCAAATTCTCTGAAATGTCATCATACACTTACACTGAAGTAATAAAATTCCTTATTATTTATATTGCCTGCTTCCTTTAAATATCAATTTTCTTTTTAGAATTCTGCACTGTAATGAGTTTTACATGTCACTTAATTTCTTTAACCATACCTGATTTTGCTAAGATTATTTTTTTCGCAGTGTTAAAGCTATACGCATCAGTAAAAAGAGTGCCAAGCTGTTCTTGCTAAGTTCCATTATCTGTTAATCATGGTAGACAAGTCACTTTTCTGCTTAGTTCTCCCCCACCTCATTTATTCATTCAATTTGTGCTCAATTTGTAAGCACATTCCCAATTCAGAAACTTTGAATTTGATTTTCCCTCTGCCTAAAACATTTCTCCTTCACAGGTTCTACCATTTCTTCTCTAACATATAGTGTGGTCTTAATTGATTAGTTTATTTTTATTGCCTTGTTTCTCTGTTAGAAAGTAACCCCAATGAGGGAAGCAACCTGGTCTTCTCAGTACACTGCTGTCAACCTAGTGCTAATGTTCATAAAGAAAAGGGAGCACAGTGAGTATTTGTGGAATTAATAAGTCAATCTGCCAGGCCCTGAGTTATGTATTAGTGACAGAATAGTACAGCAGTTACTTTCCACCCTCAAGGAATTTACAGAGAGACAGGAAAAGAGACAAACAGAATAACACAGAGTAATACCAAGCTTATACAATAAGACGGGCAGCAAATAAAAGTGTCTTAGGAACACAATACAAATGCATCTAATGGAATGTGGTTTTTATCTTTGGTGGGGAAAGATAAACTTACTTTTTCTAGTTAAAGTAACTTAAAGCAGCAAAGTCCCAATCTGAACCCAGGTGTCCTGAGGTCAGGGACTACCTTCTCATCTAACACATTACACCAGCTCCTCATATAAGCAGTGATTAACCAAGGCCAGTTTCCAGACAAAGTCAATAGTGTGCTCAGAGATACTACATATTCTAAGAACCACAGACTGTATATAGACATGGAAGGAAGATAAAGAAAATTGTGAGGTCTAAGCATAATGTCAAGGTTCCTGGTTTGAGCAAGTAGGAAAGGTAGTAGTACAATTCAGAGAAAAAAAGAAAAGGATAAGGGGGAATAATGATGAGTGGTTTGTATGTGTTATTTGTGGTGCCTGAAGAGAGATCCAGTAAATATTTGTATATGCAAAAGGCAACTATGGTCTAGAAATGTAAAATGTGAAGTCAATTAGCTTATATTTAATAATTCAGCCTGGGAAAGTATGCGGACAAGTCTTGAAAAAGTGTATAGAGTGAGAGCAAAAGGTTGAGGGTGAGATATAGCTCAATATGAAGGCCTGGGTTCAGTCCCCAGCACTGGAATAAAAAAGCCAGATGGAAAGAATATTTAAAAGGAGAAACTGGCATGATCTTAAACATATCCTTTAAACTTAACAATAGGGAGCTGGGCTTGGTGAAAGAATTCTACTGAACAAGTTGAGAAGTGAATGAAAAGTATATAATGAGATAAAAAAAAAAAGGTAATGTAGCTAAGAGACATGTCATACATAGGACTGTACTTTTTAATAGTACTAACTTAACCATATAAAATGTTGCATTTATACACTTCTGTTTAAGAGGGAGGCACCAAGATGGAAGAGTGGTAAGCAGCCGAGAAAGAGCCTCTCTAAGTTTTGACGTCTGTTGGGAGCGGCTGGAGCTGGAAATTGGTCATATGTGTGGAGGTGAGACAAGGCCACAGTGCCTAAGGCAGTCACCCTAGCTCAGTCTTGAGAAAAGCATCCTGCCTGGACAATTCAGTCATTAGTCGCTAGGCAACCTTGTGGCTCCTGATACTAACTTGCAAAGGTATAAACAAACGCCCCTACTGTTGTTCTTCAATCCTCTCATGCATCCAGTAAGAGGCCTCCACCTGACCTCAGCTCTTGTCTCTTGTCTTTATTTCCTAAAAGACCTTGTTGTTTTCTCCTGGAGACCACGGAGAGACCAACGAGTCCCGATGACATCCAGACTCTGGAATATACCAATGTAAGGAAGACAAGAGAGAGGGAAGTGGATCCTTGGGGCCCAAAAAGGATCTGAGGCATGAATTGAAGCCCACAGAAACAATGAAGGGAGAAGCTTCAACAAAGAGGAGGGAGGTAGCCGGTGATGCCTACTCCCTGAGATGGGACTCACTGAGAGGACGATTCAAATTTGCCGACACACAGCAACTGCTGGCAACACCAGAGGCCTCTACAGAGAGAAACAACATGGAGGGTGCAATGGTCATGAAGGACTGCACTAGTGCTGAAGGCTCAGTCATTCACAGGAGACAGCAACTGGCCGGGAGCCATCTTGGAGAGGGGCTGGCTGAACTTAGAACTCAGAGCAGCTGCTGGCTCCATCTAGTGGCTCCCAGCTGGGCTCGGGACTATGAGAGGTGTGCTGACCACTACAGGCCAAATAAGTCTGATCTCAGCTAGGAGGTGCAGGCTTGCTGAGATTATCCACTGCCCACCCAAAAGCTACTGCTGGCTTGCTGGGATAGACTGGCATGGATCAGGACCTGTCTCTAGTCGTTCTCTACCAGTGACAGCAGAGACAAACCTCCAAGTGGACTTTTTTGCTCTCTCTCTCTCATTTGTTTTTTGTTGTGGTGGTGACGGTTTGGGGTTTTTTGCTTCGTTTTGATTTTTTCTCCTTCATTGCTTGATCTTTTTTTTTTTTTTTTTTTTTTTGTCTTTTTGAGACAGGGTCTCGCTATGCAGTTCAGGCTGGCCTTGAGCTCACTTCGTAGCCCAGGCTGGTCTGGAACTCACAACGATCCTCCTGCCTCAGCCTCTGGAGTGCTGGATTACAGGCCTGCGCCACCATGCCCGGCTTGATCTTGTTTTTATATGAGCATGAATGTGTTTTCTAGCCCCTTTGTGGTTGTTGTTCTGTTCTGTTCTTCTTTTTATCTCTTACTTCTCTCTTTCCCTCCAGTCTTCTGCACCAGTTTCCCAAAGTTAGCATGATCCCCCTTTGTCCTCCAGCCTTACTTCTAATCTGTTTTTCTTCCCCCTCTTCTCCTTCTCCTTCTTCTTCTCCCCTTCTCCTTCTCTTTCTTCTTCTTCTACCACTCTATTTTTTCCCTAACTCCTTTTAAATTTTATCCCTGACAGTAAAATTGACATATTAAGGACCTATATACTGCATATAATTTTCTGGTCTATTTAGGATTTTGTTATATACCTACAAATCTAATTCATATGATTAAAGGTGGCAAATTAATGGTTACCTCAGTCTGTCATTTTCCAGGCTGTGACTGTTGCTACTATTATTGCTGATGGTACCACTTTAGCCAAAAGTGACATAAGTGTTCTAAACAGCTATGCTTCCTGGTATTCTAAGACTGAGATTCACTAAAGGGTACAGAAAATACTATTGCACATTGCCAAAGAACCAGGGGCTGGGCCAAACAGGCAGCAACTTCTCATAAACACGTGAAAATTCAATAGCAACCTCCTGAACAACCAACATCATACTAAGTGGTCAAAAACTGAAAACCTTCACTCTAAAATCAGGTGGAAGACAAGGATGTCCACTGTCTGCACTCTTATTCAACACAGTCCTGGAAACTTTAGCCAGAGCAATTACACAAGAGAAAGAAATAAAAGGAATAATGATAGGAAAAGAAGTTAAACTATCACTATTTGCAGATGACATGATATTCTACATGTCCTAAAAACTCGACTAAAAAACTCTAGGTTTAATAAGCAAATTCAGTAATGTAGCTGGATACAACATTAACACTCCAAAATCAATAGCCTTCCTATACACAAATAACAAATTCACTGGGAGAGAAATTAGGGAAACAACACCTTTCACAACGGCATCCAAAAAATGAAATACCTAGGAATCAATCTAATAAAGGATATAAAAGACATCTACATTGAAAACTATAGGTCTGGGGATATAGCTCAGCAACACAGCACCTACCTGGCAAGAGCAAGGTCTAGAGTTTGATTCCCAGCACCAAAAAAGAAAACTGTAGCACCCTGAAAAAGGCCATTGAAGCAAATATCAGAAAATGGAAAGATATCTCTTGCTCTTGGGTAGGAAGAATTAATATAGTGAAAATCGCCATGTTTCCAAAACTCTTATACAGATTTAATGCAACCCTAATCAAAATTCCAACAGTATATCTCACAGAATTAGAGAAAACAATCCTAACATTCATTTGGAACCAGAAGAGACCCAGAATAGCAAAGGCAATTCTGGATAACAAAGGCAAGGCCAGGGGCATCACAATCCTTGACTTGAAATTACAGTGTAAAGCTACTGTGATAAAAACAACATGGTATTCACAAAAAAGTAGACCCAAAGATCAATGGAACAGGTTATTAGACACAGAAACAACTCTAGATAGTCAGCCCTCCTATTATCTTGTTTTGAAATTGTTTCTTTCTTTAAAATAAAAAATGCTTCCGTTTAAATATAAGATATAAAGGGGATAATGGAAAGAATAAGACTGAGGAGGGAAGAACAGAGAAGTAAAACAACCAATAGAATACATGGTCCTAGAAGCAAATAAAGCAGGCAGTTTAAAGAGTAATCAACAATAACAAAAATAACTCAGAGATCAAGATGAGGTGTGATAATTGACTACTAGATGTGGGATTCAAACTTATGCGTTGTGATTTCAGAGTTCATGATCTTTTTCTTCCTCTATATCATCTATGGGAAGGAGGCAAAAAACCAAGAGGGTGGATGAGGATAGTATGCTATGAACAAATTACTAACTTAACTGAAAAATATATTATTTTTTACTTTTCTATGAAAATACCATTGTATCATAGTAAATCATTCTTAACATAAAATAGGCCTTCTCAGTAGGCAGCTGTTCTAAGATCTAGGCTTCAATAAACAAACAAAATGTGGAATTGACTTTTTACACAAAATACTAATACCTCTTACTAATTTCATAAAACATTATTAGAAGGGAATACTGTAAATTTAGCCTCCAATGCTCCAAACATTGTGGAGATTACATAATGATAATAAAAGCTATGACACTTAGAGAAAACTAAAAAAAGAGTAAAACTCAAAGTGATCTTACAGTAGAACGCTTCCAGAAATGAATAATTTCATTGACACTTGTTGCAGGATAAAGTAAAAAATAGTCTCTCCATTCATTCCAGTCTATTGTCAGTGTCCCATCGCTATCCATGCTGAAACAAATTTTTAAAATATTCCTTATAATATTTATAACAAAGCACCATTATAAAAATTAAGTATATGCTTAAATATTTATTTTTAAAGCTACTGTCTTGAACTTCATGAATATCATTGTATTTTCACAATTTTTTTTTAAACTAAGACTATTTTCAGAGCAGATTTAGATTTTTAGATAAGTTGAGAAGGTATTATGTACGGTTCCCATCCATCTTCACATCTAGTTTCAACTACTGCTATTATCTTGCACTATATGGTACTTTTTTACATTTAATTAACTATTATTATTAATGATAGATTATTATTAACTAAATTTCATACTTTATTCAGACTTTCATAGTTTTTAAATAATGCCTTTCTTTTGTTTCAGAATCCCATTCAAGGTACTACATTAATCAACTGTCATGTCTCCTTAGCCTCCTCTACCTATAACAGTGTCTGAGATTTTCCTTATTTTTTTATTATCTTGAAAGTTTTAGGGAATATTGGTCTGATATTTTATAGAATGCCCCTCTATTGGGATTATTCTACACTGTTTTAAAATTATTTTTGTGTACGTATTTCTCTTAGATTTTCCTGTTAACCCATAAAGGGAATGACTGTATTTAAATCATTAGCACTGAGAATCCAATGAATGTTTGATGAATAAATGATAAGTAAATAAAACTGACTAAAGAGTAACCTTATGCCGTTTGGCTCTTCTAGTATTGTTTCTACCACTGACCCTCTTTTCCCTTTTTTTACAGCATTCTAGTCAACTCTGAAATAACTTGTCATTTACAAACTTAGAAAGAAGTCTCACTTTTTACCATGCAGAAGTCAGTATCTACACAATCTTTTAACATCTCCAAAATTTTAAAAAATTGTAAGTCATTTCTTTCTATTTGAGTAAAAGGTAGAATTAAGAGAAATGACTTTTAATAGCTTTTCTCTAAATGAAATATCTAAAAAACAAAATGCATTTGGCCATCAAAAAATTTAGTGCAATTTCCACTTCCAGCCAAGACAAAATAATGAGTGTAGAACTTATACTCTCACTGTAAATAATTATGAAATTGGACACAACATTAGAAATAACTGCTTTCAGGACTAGTCCACAAATGAGACAGGACTGTGATACCTGAGAAAACCAAACATGAGTTGAGCTTCCCATTTACTCTATTTTCTGGTACAGTTTCCAAACTACGACACAGAGAAGTAGGAGCTTAAGCAGAGAGCATGTGAATAGAAGAAAAAGGGCCACTGAGAGGGCAGGAATTTACAGAGATATACAAGTATTCCTTCGACACTTTTACCAAATACTATGCTACATATGACTACCTCAGCCTCACGGAAATAGTTCATGGAGGGTTGTGAGCTTAATAAAAATTCTGTACTGGAGGAATGCTGGAGCTCAAGAATGTAAAGAAAGAACAAAAGAAAGAAGAGAGAAAGAAAGAGAGAGGGCAGGAGTAAAGGAAAAGAAGAAAACAATGGAGAGAAGTAAAGAAGAAGGATGAAAAAGAAACATTACATACAAGCGGAAATCTAAATGGCATCCACTGAGTTCTTATCAGAAACAAGTTTGTGAGCAGACATCTTTAATAAGTTAAATTTAGTTAAACAAAGTTTAATGAACTGTAGCTAAAATCCTATATATAACAAAATAACCATAAAAAATGCAGGTGAAATAAAGATATTTTCAGATAAATAAAATAATTATTATAAAACATGGACAATATGCACTTCTTCAATTTGTTTTCACTTAGGACAATGCATTTTTAGGAATTATCCCTCCAGGAGTTGAATCTTAAAGCAGGAATTTTGGCTGGTTCATGACTGCATCCTTTGGCATGTAGAGCTATGACTGATGTCACAGGAGTTCCTAAATTTAAATTTTAATAAATTATTACTACTTGCAATTCATAACTTTTCTTACAGTATATTAGCAGCATATTGCAAACATTACATCAATCCACAGATTGATAAAACTACAAAGTTTCTATCAAACTTGTACTAATAAACTTGTTAAAAACAATTTTATTGTAAGAAATTTTATTTCTTGTTCAACTGAATTAGGGATATATAACATATTTTATACGATTCCAATTCTTTTTAATTTTTTGCATTTCCTTTATGCCCCAGCATAGGGTTGATTCTTAAGAATTTTTATATGTGCTTTAAAAACATATAAATCACTATAATGCCCCCTTTAAATGTTAGTAATAAATCTTACTTTTTCCACCCTTTTTTCTATGAACACTTGATTTGGTTAAAAAAAAATATATCTTTGTGCCAGAATATAGTTATATTTTGTTCACAGTAACAGCCAAAAATGCTTTCAAGAACTTAAAACATTCTAACTGCCAGATATGAAATACACATTAACTAGATATATGCCAATGCTAAGAAGTAAGACTCACAAAATAAAAAAGGGGTAAAAACCCATGAGGAATTATCCCACATAACTGAAAACAGTCCAAATAGAATGTCCCTGAATTAAAACATAACTTTAAGAAACTCACTGGAATGATTAAATGATGACAGGGATGTATTTGAAGGACTTACCAGAATGCCACACAGAGAGAAAGAGGAAAGAAGAAATATAATACAAAGAGAAGCTAAAGGGTAGGCTACATTTGAAGCGATAAAGACTGAGAGTTTTCCAGAATTGTTAAAAGACAGAAACACAGGAAGTTCAACATCTTCTAGCAGAGTTAATAAAAACAAAGGCCCGCTCACTAGATAAAAAGCCACAGACACCAAAGAGAAGATCATAAGGGGAGGTAGAGAGAAAGGCAAATCCTCTACCAAGGCTCAAAAATCACACTGGCACCAACCTTCCCCTAACAGTAGGAGACAGAAGATAGAATAGCATCTCAAAGTTCTAACAAAAAGTAATTATCAAGCTAGAATTATGTATTTAGCAAAATTTTCTTTCCAGAACAAAGGTGAAATAAACATACTTGCAGACACTAAAAAGCTAATAGTTTATTTCTATTAAAAGAATTTCTAAAAAATATAGTTCAAGAAGGAAATTATCCTAGCAGGATAGTCTCAGATCCAAAGATGAATGGTGCATAAATAAAATGCTAAATATTAATACATCTAAACAAATTTTCAGTATAAAATAACAATTATAATAGAGAACCAAAAAAAAGCATATAAACCAGGAGAGAGATGATTAGAATTAAAACTGTTCTAAAGTTCACCATTTGAAGAGAGGTTAAAGATATTGTTTATCTTTAGTTTTTAAACTTTTATAGTAAAATGTCAATCACTAATAGAAAAAGTATATAATTTTCAAACTAGTAAAAAATGAATTAGAAAAAACATGAGAAAATTTTATTAAAAAGCAAGAAAGTAAAAAGGGAAGCATACAAGGGCAGGATAAATGGGAAGCAAAAATATATTAACAGAAACTACTCCAAATATTGTATGTCAATAATACAAAAAAAAATAATATTAGTATATTATATAAATATTAGTACTATGTATTAGTATATAGAGACTAAATCTTTAGGAAGTGGGATCTAGTGAAAGGAAATTAGGCCATGGTGGTTAGGTCCCTGAAGGAGACATTTGTACTCTGGCTCCTTCTTGTCCCTATCTTTGCTCCTCGTTGCCAGGAGACAGAGAACCCTTCTATATCATTTGCTTCCAACCTGATGTACTGTGAAACCACAGGCCCAAAGCAACAGAGCCACGCAACCATGGACTGAAATCTCTAAAAGCATTAGTCAAAATAAACCTTTTTTCTCTTTACATTGATTATCTTAGGTATTTTGTCATAGCAAAGGAAAGGTGACTAACACAAAGGCATAGAAAAAAAGGTAAATGATGGTAAATACTGAGAACATAAAAGGCTGGATTTGTATGATAATATCAAGCAAAATAGCACTACAGAATGATAAAATATTCCATTTATGAAGATTTAACAATTCTGAAGTTGGTTGAGTCTGAAAAGATTTTCCAAACATATAAAGCTAAAAATAATATAACTACAGAAAAAAAATTGAAAAATCCTCATCACAGTGGCAGATTTCAACTTGTCAGTCATCTGCAGAGCAGGGAGATACTTAAACCACAAAATTAACAAATTTCTTTTAATGGACATTCTATAGATCCCTGCCTGCAACATTTAAAAAATACTCTTCAAGTATATATAAAACGTTCATAAAAACTTTCACTGTTCAAGGCCATAAAGTAAATCTAAAAAATGTTTGAAGAAACAGTATCAAGCCATCTTCTCTAACTCTTGTACAATTATGATAGAAATCAGTAACAAAAAAAACTCTTAAAATTTCAATATAACCTACTTCTAAATATCTCAGGTGAAAAAGAAAAACACTCAATACAAGTATTTAAATCTAGAACTATATAAGCATGAAAATTCAAAATCACATATAAAAGCTTGCAGAATATAGCAAAATCACTTATAAAAGTACTTTGAGCTATTCTCTTGCTTGTAACAGAAATCTGGAAATTAGTAAAACTATCCAATTTAACAAATAAGAATAAACAATATTAGAAGAACAATTGTTCTACTTCTACCCTTATGTGTTTTGAAATTCTTTTATATTCAAATAACTTCATGAGACACAACTTACAGGCTTAAAACAAAGCCAAATTTGATTATTAGAAAGAATCAATAATGAAATAGAGGAAGTTTCAGTGAAATTCGTTTGAAAAAAACCACACATAACATTACAGATGAAAAGAACAACTATAGCCAGGTGTGGTGACATACCCCTATAATCCCAGCACTCGGGAGGCTGAAACAGGAGGATCACTGTACATTCGAGGCCTGCCTGGGCTACAACATGAGTTCGAGGTCAGCCTGAACTGCATAATGAAACCCTGTCTCAAAAAAGTCAAAAAGAAAAGAACAACTATAGATTTAGAGGAGACCAAACAGATAAGAGAATACACTGAACAACTTTATGCCAGTAAATTTGAAATTTTAGATGGAAATAATAAATTCCTGAAAAATGAAGTTTTCCAAAACTGACCCAAAAAGGAATAGAAGGTATGAATGATCCTACAACTGTTTATGAAATTGACTCAATTATTTTAAATCATCCCATAAAAAAATCATAAGGCTCAGCTGGTATCTTAGTTAATTTCTCATTGCTGGGACAAAATACCTAAACCCACAAGTTAAAGGAGGAAAGGTTTATTTTAGCTGACAGTTTGTAGAGGTTTCAGTCCATAGTTGGGTGGCTCCAAAGCAGGGTGGCATGGCAGGGGGCATGGCAGAAGAGAAAAAGTCCATGGCAGGGTAGGCAGGAGGCAGCAAATTTTAAGCCTTCCTTTCCCTTTTATTCCATTCAGGCTACAAATCTATTGGTTGGTTGCTGCCCACTCCCAGTGTGGGTCTTCTGTCTTCAATAAATCCATTCAACCACACCCAAAATTATGCTAAATCAATCAGTGGACTAATCCAGCATTCACACATCCTTAATCTAGTACCACACACACATGATCCAGCCACCTCCCAAAAGCCCCACCTATGAGCACACGAGGCTTTGTAGGACATCTCGGTACAAACCACTAACAGTTGATTTTACAATTAAATTCTTTTAAACCTTTAAGGAATAAATAGATTGATTCAATTTTATTGAATCTCTTGCAGAAAATATAAAAAGGGAGACTACTCCCCAACTCACTCCTTCAGGTCAATGTAACCAAAAAAATTATTAGATTAGGATGGTCAAGCAAAAAAAAAAGAACAGGGCAATCTCTCTCAGAACATGTTAACGTTATGAATAAATTTCAGTGAACTGAATCCAATAGAATATTTTTAAAAGGTTATGTTTATTCCAGGAATATAAGGATGAGTTAGCAAAGAGAAAATTCTAGAAACTAATTTATCATATTAACAAGCCAGGCATGGTGGTGCACTCCTGCAATCCCAGCACTCAGGAAGCTGAGGCAGGAGAAGTGCCATGAGTTCAAGGCTAACCTGGGCTATACAGTGAATTCAAGGCCAGCCTGGCTCAGGAGACCCTGGCTCAAAATAAACAAACAAACACATCAACAAATTAAAGAAAGATATTGTATTAATCACCTCTCAATTTAAACCTATTTGTAATTTTAAAACAATTTCTTAACAAAACAGAAGGGGCCTTCCGTAATATGGGAAAGATTACAATGATAAAATATTAGTATTTTACTGATATAGTGATATCAGTATTCCCTTTAAAATCCAGAAAGGGACAGGATGCCCATAATTACTATTTTTATTCAACATCATTATAGCAGAAATAGAAAAAAAATCAATTAATTTCAATATTCCAATATGAGTATTAGAAAGGAATAACTGAAACTACCAGAATTCAAAGTATTGTCTTAGAAGTATTGTCTCATATATCAAATATAGCTTCTGTTCCCTCAACCTTTTCCTTACAATTTATTCAGCACGTCTTCAGCTAGAAACACATCTCTTATCCTTGTTACAAACCAAAACCCACTGCCTGAGGAGCTATTTAAAGTCACAGATACCATCAAAAATGTCATTCTCACCTATTCAGACTCAACTTTATGCAGAGGATGTATCAAAGCAGCACCAGACACTTGAAAGCATAATGAACAAACCCAAACTGGTATAATTTAAGGAGTGGACTGAAAGAGTGGGTTTGGGAACATGCGTACTACCTTAAGAGCCTGTGAAAGCAGTCACCCAGGAACATCTGCTTTAGGAGAAAAAACAACAGTGGTAGAGTGAGAGGCAACAGGAGGGTCCGGACAGCACCAGGTTTTACTTTCATCTTTCTGCCTTCCTCTACCTGCCTCCACCCTCTTTAAACTTCTCCTCAAATTATCTCTGGCTGGGGCACTTGCTTAGACATTCAATGCCCTTGATTTGATTCCCAGTACAATCAATCAATCAATCAGTCAAGCAATCAATCAATATCTCTGCCCCATTCTATTAAAGTACAGAGGTTTCAATCATGGAATGAATACCTTCTTCAAAAAAAACCTTCCTGAAATCTTAAGATATAGAAAAAATGCATGTGTCACTGTTTGGTTCAAGCAGTAGCAGAAGAAAGGAGTTCATTTTGGGAACTCCTCACCCCTTGTCCCATGTGCATTCAGAGGACCCAGTGAAGTATAATCTGAGAAAATATATTGGCAGTATGTGTGATTCATTTCGTTTTGCTACCTAAATGGTCAACCACTTAATAGAAGGCCTTTGAAAATCGCTCTTAGTAGAAAGAGACTCAAAAGTAAGACAACATTAAGAAAGTAGAAGCAGGTTTGTTTACAAAGTTATAGATGCGGGTGCTATATTTATAGCAATTAGTTTCCAGCATTAATAAAAGCTATTTAAAATCAGGACAAGTGCTCACCTTTTCACAATGTTGTTTGCCTGAGCTTCCGAAATATTTACACCCAATGATTTCATAGCAGCAATTATTTCTGCAGTGTCTATTACTCCTTTAAAAAGTGAAAAATACCACGTTAAAGTATCTGAAAAGACAATGAAGCAAAATATACTTAAATATACTAGTTTTTAGAAGTCTATATGTTTTAAAGGTCTATAATCCTAAGTTCATAGTTCAAAGCCTGAAAAATTCTGAAAAGTAAAAGACTTTTTATAAATTTGGTACCAAGATTCATTTGGTGGCAAAGCTGCTTTAAATGCATATGGGTTAATTTTAGTCAATTATTTATCAAATTCAGTGTAAATATATGCTTCACTGCAGAAACATAATATTATTGCCTGGTGGTACCCCAGACCACACTTGGAATGTTATATATCACATATATACTATATTACTTTTCTAAAATCTACATTCTAAATTTCAAAAAACATCTGGACCCAAGGGTTATAGGTTATAACATGCTTTCCAAGTAGGTATAATAATCAAGAGTGTTACTATACCTACTTGGAAAGCAGTAAAAAAGCTAATTCTAAAGGCCTGATTCAGGGACATGAAAACCAGGCCACTCAATGTTTTATAAAGGTAAGCTTTCAAAGAGACAATATAACTTAAAAAATACAATATCAAACTCTCTTTACATTACCATATCCCATGTTAAATAACTCAAATTAACAACTCAACTACTATATAGTTGATTAACAAACTAATAACTCAAATTAACAAATCAGTATAGTATACAGTTCACTATCACATTGCTGGATGTCATGAAAGGAAAATTACATATTCTTTATTCTCCTTAAACTCTAAAACACAAATCTTATCATATCATCCACCAAATCCAAAAAATCTTGATTCTTCTCTTATGTAAAGGTACCAGTTGAGGATACCCAACTTTTAAAATATGTGGACAATTTTTCTCTGTAAATACAAAAAAAGGTTATACTTTCAGGGATCATTTCCATAGTATGTAAATACAAAAAAAATAGTGTCTCCTACTTGAAAATACATGTCAAGGGGGCTGGAAATATAGCTCAGTGGCACAAGCACCTGCCTAGCAAGCGCAAAGTCCTGAGTTCAATCCCCAGTACTGAAAAAAAAATACATGTCAAAAAGCTATCATAAATTCAGCTATACTTTTAATTTGTATTTTATGAACCACAGCTGCCTATGTATAATGTATAAAAAGCAGTGCAAAATGCATGAGATATTACTTAACCCATAGACAAAGCCCTTTACTCATATGCAGAATCTTAGACCCTACAGTGATTCTAAGGCCCCAAGTATTCCAAGCATTACAGGATGAAATTTATTATCTATTCCTCAGCCTAGAAATTAGCTTCTTCAATGGAGAAGCTTGGGTTCTCTGCCTTGTATCTCATTATAGTCTTCAAACACTAAATTCATCAATTTGATTTAATAATTTTTAAAAATTTGACAAACTACTAAGCAAATTAGTATACTAAATGTGAGATTAATAAACATCCCCATGGAATTTACAAATTTGTATGGATGCACTAATTATTTTAAAAACATACCGCACTGTGCTAAATGTACGTAAACAGAAGAGTTAGGAATAAAGTATAATGGAAAGGTAAATAAGAGAGTGCGAAACAACTATAAAGAAACTACCAAAGTAATAAAAGATTTCTATAAAAATTTTCTAAAGGGGCTGGGGATTTAGCTCAGCAGCACAGCGCCTGCCTGGCAAGCGCAAGGTTGTGAGTTCAATTTCCAGTACCGGGAAAAAAAAAATTTTTTTTTCTAGAAAAGGTACAGTATTACCAAGGTATACTTACTTATTACAGAGGTTTGCTGCAAACTTACAAGTAATATTAAAAATAATAATAAGTAATTTAGTGAGGGGTAATGATAATAGGTAACTTGGAGAGGATACAGAAAGGGTGTTTCTGAGATGTTACTTCTTAATCTGGAGATTTTTCATGTTATACGTTTGCCTTGTGAAAATTCAGGGAGCTTATAATTTACTACATTTATAATGTATGTACTTTGCTGAACATTTTACATATGAATGAAATCATCACCAAAATAGTAACCTGTAGCCAAACTTGAAACGCCTTTTAACCAGCTCTGACACTGTGTGTTAATTTCTCAACATTTTTTTTCAAGCTATTGCTTCTGCTCAAGAAACTTCTTCCCCATTTTTTAGATACCGACCCAGTGCAAATCTAAGTTGCTCCTGGGTACAACTAAGCTCTTTCTGCATTACTTCTATAGGAATTATCATAGTCTATCTTATGTAGAGTTATGGATGCTTATTCCTACACCATCTAAAATCATGAGCGCCTTTGTTAACATAATTCCTAGTACACTAAATTGACATAGAATACTCAACACTGTTTTTCCTTGATTGAACTAAAATATATTTAGTCCTTATCCTACAGAGCCTAAAATTTAAAGCAATGATGGAAAAAAATTAAATAACATATAATCAAGACCTATGGACTAAAATGGAGATTCAGTAGTCTGTAAGTACAGGCACCAAGTTTTCACTGCAAAGATGGATTGGAAATAGATTAAATGAAATGAAAGTATTTAAATGGATGAAGAAGACTGCAACCATTCCAGCTCTACAATCCTAGGGAGAAATACAAAATGTGCCATTCCTGTACCTGTAATCCATCCCTATAAAATACCACTCCAATATTTGATGGTTTAAAAAGAATGTATTTGATCATGTGGATATAATCTAAGCTTGGTTCAACTGGCTGCCTCTTCTGCTGAGCTTGCTTCGTTACTCATGTGAATCCAATCACCTGAAGATCCAATTATATCCTGCAGCTGGGTGGTTTCAATCCTATGTCTATGGTTTCAAGCCTATGTTCACCTCACGTGAAAATTCAGAACAGCTAATGACTAAATGGACATCTCTTTCCATGTAGTCTCACCAACTAGCTAGCTAAACTTCTTTCCTCATGGCTTAGGGTGTTCAAGCGGCAGTACTCAAGACAACAAGGCCTAATGTATAAGTACTTACTGAGCTCTGTTAATAACTTAACGGCTGAAGCAGGTCAAAGGACCAAGCCCAGGTCAATGCAGGACAGGCCTACACAATGGCATAAATTCTGGGAGGTATGATTCAGTAGAACAGCCAATGTGAAGCTAAATTATTTAACCTTTCTAAGCTTTAGTGTTCTCTATAAAACGTTACTTCTGTGAGAACTATGAAAAAAATAAGATATCGAAGGTAAAGTACCTAGAACAAACATAACCAACAGTAAAATCCAGTAAACCTTAATTGCTTTCCTTCTGTTTCCTCAATCCCCCCAAAAACTCCATCGGTTATGGCTTGTATCTAGATATCCTCCCAGAGCCTTTGTGCTCATAGGTGGGGCTTTTCAGAGTGGGCTGGACCTAGGGTGTATGATATTGGGATTAAGGGTGTGTGGTACTGAAGTAGACCATTGGTTGGAATTAGCATAGTTCTGGATGTGGCTGAA